ACTTTAAATATATGATACTTGCTGAATCTAAAAGATTGACTTGGCAATTAAGAAAAAAAAGAAAGTTTAATCAAAAACATCGTATTCACACTTATATAGAGAGCACCGTTTCTTCTATTTTAACACTTATTGACTACGACATGCCAACCTTGTCCCCTTGCGTACGTAATTCACTTCTGTTGTAACTTCTTTGCGGATACTATACAGTCTATCCGTTAAAAGGTCATGTTTAGGGTTGAGCACTCGATTTCTTTTTATCTATTATATATACATATATATTTATCTCCATCCATAATTTCCATTTTTTTTATTCCTTTTACCTGTCTCCTTTTATTTCAGTTTTTTTTATAACTTGTCAATTGCTATATGTTTGATATACATTTTAGTAAGCATGATATTGTTTTCCTTCAGTTAAACTTTTTGAAGTTTGGGTTTCGGTTTGTTGATTCACCAGTTTCTCATTAATCATGCTTCTTTTGGCGTCTTCAAAATAAATTAGAGTTTTCTAAATATGTAGGAAAGTGATGAATGATCACTGCAAACACAAAACGACATCGAAAAGTGCAGAAATATAATAGTTAAAGGCATTAAGATGAAAAGGCCAGTTCGCTAAAGCGTTCAAATGAGTGCTTAATCGGTATGGTTTAAAGCCCCCTTTGTGGATTTTCTGGATCCAGAAAAGCGGCAATGATCCCACAACCGCCACCTTTTAAAATAGATAATAAGCCCAAATCTGGTTTTGAAACAGGAGTCTTCATTGAGTTACTGTATCTTTTGGCAAACAACTCAGAATTTCCGGCTTTTGGATTGCTAGTGTCTTTCTAGCTGTTCAGCCGAAAAGATGGCCTTCCACCGGGTGCAGTTACCTTGCATATAAGGCGTATACATGATACTGCCGGAAGCTATGAAATCCTATTTACTCGCCTTCGGAGGTAGCCTCGGACTAGCCTATTCTCTATCTGATAGGTCATGTGGGTCTGGATGTAGTTCTTTCGATTCGCACAGGCTGTTGCGTTCTCGCTACACTTTTTTCTGATTAACTTCTAATAAGCAAAAATATTAAAAACACGCCATAAGAAGCTAAAATGAAATTGGCAATTGATAGCAGTGTACTAAAATATAACAGGTATTATACGAGTAATAAAAAATCAAGAAACAAGCTTCGAAGTTAAAAGCGAACATCATTAAAAAAAATGATAGACTTTTGTCCAAGAAAAGATACAAAGATTAATATAGCCCATTTCAAAACGTTAGATACGTATGCATGTTGTTGGTTTCCGATAGTTCGTCTTCCACTACAAGCAAATAGTCTCCTCTATATGTTGGGTCGCTAATAACAAAGTGTACTAATGTGCTTATTGCTATTGTGCTAAAGAAAACCGTTTATATATCTGGTCCGTCTCCTAGTATAGATAACTATAGCCATAGTACATTCAGATCTAACTTCTTAGCACGAATTGCTTCTTTTATACTTCTAGACGTACCTTCTGCTAACTGTATACACTGAGAACGGCTACATGAAGATACATATTTATTAAGATTCTGGTATGTCGGAATCAACCTGCTATATTTAGTAAAAATTAAATTTTATGCAGAATTGCATTGTTGGCTCATGTATCTTTGCGTATGTATAACTATTTCGATAATCCGGCACAAAGTCTGGTAGAGAACTCCATAGAGTCTAGTAGAAAACTCATAATAAAATGATTACTGGGTCACTTCAGTATTGGTCTTTCAAACTGAAACTTCAATTAATGTCTTTGCGTTCATCTGATCATCAAGTGGATGTCAACTAATTTTTAAAAAAAAAAAAGATACTTTTAAAGTAACGCAACGTTTGGTGAAGATAAGTCGCTTCTTGGTTACGCTGGCAGGAATTTTCAGCTAAATGATCGCCTGTGGAAAAATACCTGGGATCTTACATGAAAGAGTACAAAAGCTAAGAAGAAAAACTGGGTGTGTTCTCCGGTCAATTCAGTTTACTGCACGTGAACGCAATGAACGATTCTGAATGAAAACTCCTGTATGTTAGCGTTACATTTTCGCTAGAATGTAGTTCCTTTGGTTTGTTAAGAGCGATAACTTTAGTCTGTTAGAAAACGTCTAGAAAGTATTAAAATGGCAGAATTAATGGGTCAGATGAGTGGCTTTCAGTTTCAAGCATTCCATTAAACTAGCTTCGTGTGCTTAGTGCTAAACGACAGTAGCTTTTTTTACCGCAATTCGAATTCCCCAAAATATCCTAGTATCTCTGATTGAACTTAGTGGCAAACTTCTTGCAGCTTGAATTACTTTAATACTACTAATAATAATAATAGACATAAAATTTTGTACAGTATATATAATAATTTTGCAAGTTTTAAAACTTTTGTAGACATGACTTTAAAATCTATAAAATAATTTGCATAAGAAATTTTTACACATCGTAGCATAACGTGTTGCTCTATTGAGCTCCCTTGATACTTTACTAGTAATTATTCAGCCGCTTAAAGCATACTGGACATACATGAATATGAAGCATGGTTTCTATATTCATTTTTGGAGAGCTTTCGGATGGATAAATTTGCAATTATCAAGTAAGTTCACGTTTTATCACGGAATTAAAATGAATGAAATTTACACACACCAGCAGCAACATGCACTACTATAACTTGCGGTACGCCCGCGAAATTTCATATTGATCACTTTCTCATATATTCGAAAAAAACGTGGCTAGATGTAGCAGACACTGTTCTCCACAGTTACTAGCTAAATAGATACTAACTAGATTGGCATATACAGCATAAATATGGGGGCTTTGTTTTTTTTAGCATAAATTGAACTGTTAAAAAAATGTCGTTTTCATCACACTGTTCCTCGTTAAACCAAACTTCCAAGTTAAAGTTAAATGATAAAATAAGAATTCGATTAGTAGGATCCTGTCCATGATTCCATTTAGGTATATACAGCGAACCTGGTTAATTATACTATTTCTGTTATTGGTGTACTTACTTGATTTGCTGCTCCCAAAAGTTCCAGGAAAACTTCTGGAGGACTAGAGGGACCCTCGTGAAAACCAGTTCGGACCGTCTAGGTCTAGTAACCCGTCTGAAGCAATGCTAGCGCAGTTCCACACGAAAACCTCGAAACATTTATTCAAGTCTAAGAGGCAACACACATGATTTTGACCCTCTATTCTAAAATTTACAACAATCAAATTCTGATTATTCCGAAGTATTTATGACAATATTGGCTGAAACATACGCCAATCCGGTCGTTCCTAAGTATGTCAGATGCGTGAAGGCTTCCGAACATTTCGCATTGTTTCGTCGCTGCCGATTTAACTCTTCGTTAAATCCTGTGTATATAAAACGTTTCTAAGCAAGATTTTCGCATCGCAGTGAATGAACGCTTTATTGAACAAAACTACTCGTCAAGGATGTCCCTATCAGTACTTAGAAAAACGTATATAGTTATTAGTTCTGTGTGGACTACTTGATTATGAAAAACTGGCACGGTTTTTCTTCTTTAAAAACGCGACACTCTTCTTCAACGTTTAAATGGCTACATTCGACCATTGATTATGCTAAAAACTGCACTCGTAACTATCTACTATCAGATATGCAGTAACTACTGCATTACTTTAAGTGAAAATCAAACCTGCCAACTTTTAAGATACTTTTATAAATGAAGCTGAGGGCCAAATACGTTAAAAATTCCCCCTTGCCTTTTATTTTCTCTCTTTGGAAATACACGTCAACGTACCTCCATGGAGTTTCGGCAAAAGGGCCTTCAAAAGAATGTCGATTGCTAGGCTCAAATACTGCCGCTGTGTGCATAGTGACAAACGTAATGTCGTATTTTTTGGTTTGTCAATGGTCGAAATTGCGTACAAACGCACATTGAACCCTATAATAGGATCAAATTGTCAACTATGATACGGCTGCTTCAATATTTGTCGTTCTGACAAAAACTATACTGTAATATAAACCTGTCGGTAAGCGCTACCGAGTGTCTAGCTTTAGGGCTGGCCACTCCGTTACGTAACAGCTCAGTTGATTCACTCGATTGGAGGGCCCGCCCGGACCACAACAAGGTTGTTCCCAATAGAGATCCTTAACTCATGTAAGGGCCGGAGAACTCTTAAGTCTAAGGCTTTAGATAGGATTTGTGTAAGTCCGAAGAGTCGCGCCTATCTTTTCTTGTTTGAAGTGGGAATACCTAATAATAGTTTTAGTAACCTAATGATATTAAAGTATGCAATCTAAAGAGGCTACTTTGTCTCAACCTTTTTTCCGAAAGGCACCTTAACATGAAGTGATATTGCGGATTTAAAAGTACGTCACCTAGAAAATGGAGACGTATGCCTGTCAAGAGTACCACTTCGCACTGCTCGCCCCTATTTCATATTCAAAGACATATCAAGTTTATCTAGCATCTGGTGAAGTGTACTTGAACAAATTGAGCATTCGCATGGAAGTTTGAAGTTTATTTTATCCAAAAAATACATATCATGGCGGATTGTAGATATTACAGGCACACAGATATTGCAGTGTACCTGCGGCATCGAGTAGGCAGAGAGAACGCGCAGTACTTCTTCCACTATTTGAATTGCCGATTGTGTTCCGTTGTCGAGGTCAACCTGTGTTTCGGTTGGCACAATTAGCTCAGTTACCCATTGGATCTACGTGTTTATGTGTAATTATGACTGAACATATTTCCGTTTGTGCTGGAATATTTTGTCCAATTTAGGTGCGTCGCACAATATGGCAAGGTTACTAAATGGAAAGAGGCATACTACTTAGAGGCACATGCAACAAGAAAACACCATTGTCTGTGCCGTTTATGGTCACTTAAACTTGTTTTAACAGGAAGATTCTGTAGTCTTAGGTCAGCCGTAGTATTTACGTTGTCAAGTTTATAGAAGGTCTTTCATCTAAGCCCATGTCTGTTTTTTTTCTTATCTGTCTGGCTAGCATTCGACTCATCAGTACATGGTGAGCGATGATGATGCGCCTAATTGCCATCGTGGCCACTACAGTGACAATTAAATAGTACCTACTTTACTTCTCCCCAGTCCCCCGTTTACTGGAAATCCCCCCACTGCTGTCGCCGCCTGATAGAAGAGTGCTGCCTCTATTTGAAAGGCGATAACCTCTTCTCCAGTCACCACTATCACCAGTAACCTAAACCAACTGTAACTCTCTCGATTGTTTGAGTGTACACATGACCGCTGACCAGAGCATTGTCTCGCCACCGGCCTCAGGTCCTACCAGCATACATTTGTGGTATATATGGTGGCTAAAGCTTACAGAGTAGGGAAAACTGGTCATGAGCGCATATTCAAGTTAGTAACGGAGTCACTTCTAAAGGCAAACCGATGATGGAGACATAAACGACACTTGGCGTCTCATTGCTGCACGCAAGCTTAAGCCAGTCAGTTGTAAGTGGGCCACTCTGAAAACGTTAGCTTGACTGTTTTTGTTCTTCACATTATGTTTTACTAAACTATTGGACGAATGTCTTACGCATTGTTACTATTAGTTTACCTGTTTATTATACTGACTGCTGTTTATGACGCTAGGAGTCCATTATGACGATAGACAGCCCGTACGCATGTGGCCTTGGCCGCTGGCACCCTCGATGGCTGCAAAAGTTTTCCCATCCGGCGATTTATATGATCTTCTTTTCGGCACTCGGAATACTTCAAGGTGCCTACTATTCATACTTTGTTGGCATTAGCAACACCCTGGAAAAACGCTTTGCCTTCAGCTCCTCAACGGGTTCAGTGGTCAACATGGCGGACAATCTCGGACCGATTAGTAAGTAAAATAGTTTTTTCTTGTCCAGTTATAAACGAACGTTTGTTTTCCCAGTATTTTGTAGAATGGTCAGAGTTGTGCAGTCTCCTCAACGAACATTCATATTTTTTACTAAAATGTTACTGCAGTATAATTAATATTTATCGCATTCGTGGTCAAAGTGTCTATCATTAACTGCGCGTTCTTTTGCTTTCATTGTGCAATCATTACCTATTGGTTATGCTTTGGCAAGCATAACCAATAGGTAATGATAGATGGTTCTCGTCTACTGTTTTACTGACTTACTGACCCATTGATTAACTAACAGTTTTTCTACTGTGGTTGCTGACGGTATTGCAGTGTTCAGTGCTCTCATCGGATATTTAAGTTCTCGAGGTCATAGACCTCGTTGGGCCGCAGGCGCGATGGTCGTAGCAGGCATTTCTAGCTTTCTGGGTGCACTGCCGTACTTTCTTTATGGGCCCGACAATGACTACTTCGACGAAGAGACCAATATGGTTATTGAGCCAACCTCTGACGATATTGACTTTTGTAACGAAGCCGAGGTAGAATTGATGGCGCAAGAATGTGGCAGTGAGAAACTGAAGAACATTCCTTCGATCGTGCTACTCTTCTCATCGAACTTTCTTAATGGTATTGTAGCCAGTGTATACTACTCGGCGGGTACATCGTACTTAGACGACAGCGTCTCGAAAGTGCAAGCTCCAATGTATATGACCGTTACAGCATTTATGAGAGGAATCGGCCCTATATTGGGCTTTCTGCTGTCGTCTTACTGTTTATGGCGGTATGAAGATCCCCAGCATCCCCCGTCATATGATTTCGAGGATCCACGATGGATCGGTGCCTGGTGGCTTGGCTTTGCTATACTGTCATTTTTTATGACCATTTTTTCAGTTCCTTTGTTGTTTTTCCCTAAATCCATGAACCGACCGGAGTCGCAGCTGACAATTGGCCAGCGCTCGGAAAAACTAAAACACAATAATGAAAAAGTAAATGAAGCGTTGTCGCAGCCGAAAACGTGTATGCTGAACTCGAAAGCAGCCCTCAAAACAAAAACTGGATCCTGGAAAGAAATGGCTATCGAAATTTACGCTGATAGCCTTCGATTAGCCAAAAACCCCATTTATATCCTTCATCTGTGCAGTCAGGTGTTCAAGTGGTTTGGTATTATCGGTTACTTTAATTATATGCAGAAATACCTTCAAGAACAATTTCGAGTATCAGCGTCCAAAGCATCGCTCTTTGGTGGTGCTGTACCTCTGTGCGTTGCTCTCGTAACGACTTCAATAGGCGGCATCTTTTTACGGTAAGTAACGATTTCAAAACGCTGAACTCATATACGGACTAATCGTTTTAGTTGTATGTATTTCAAGATATTTTCAGACAGTCAAACGATGTTTATTAGGGGTTGCTTGATATCGCGGCTAAGGTATTTAAGTTATAAATACTTATTACCCTCAACTATTTTACTATCCAGAATGCGGTGTAGAACGGATTGCAATAGTCAGTACTAACAAAAAATAATTGATGCCAACTAAAAAAATGATTTCCCTTTGAAAATTAGAATTATTATGGTAGCGTGGCTAACATGATTCATGGTGCAGAATTGCTTCCCGGAGATTTGTTCAACAATATAAGAAAAATTGCAAAGAATGAATTTAATTTATTATTATTATACAATGTGGTATATTGTTGATACAACAGTAGTGTTTGTAGTGTTTTCGTGCTTGAACACCGACAAAAAACACTACAGGTTTGTTTTCAGAACAGTTTGTACAGCCAACTTGGGTAATTCATTTTATTAGCATGTCTTATAATGTCGCCCTAAAATCATTATAGGACGGTTTTCAAGTATGAAAGTAATTCGTAGGTAAAAGCTAAAAATCATATTCCAAGCATCACAATGCACGTTTTTCTAAATTACACAGATATGATTAGAGGTGGGTCAACAGTGTACCAGTGCATCAAAAAATGTGATTCAGTAAATCTTTAACCTTTGTCTTAGCAACACTATAAGAAATTCCCCAGAGACTGAAAAGATCTTTTCTGCTCTAAATCTCGTTAGTTGTTTTGATTCCACATAACAAAGACAACTTTGAGTTAATAAATGAAAAATGTATGAAAATGACGTATATATCACATTTTGATGTATTTGTTTGGAGCAAAATCATCATCATGGCCTACTATAAAAATTTTAAAGAATTATTGCACCGCTGAGGGTCACATAAATTTTGTTTTTAGTGTAATATAGCTTAATTTTAGACAACATGATGAAGTTTTCCTATATAGACAAATGGGACCCCATAAATCCTTACATTTGAAACAGCTGAGTCTAAGATCATTCGGACATTAAAATATAGTTGTATCATTCATAATTATGTTACAACGGAGCTTTGCGTCGATAAAACGAGGCGTGCTGTTGTTGATGACATAAAAAGAATACTACTACCTTCAGCCTTACCAGTGATGACCCAAGCACCGCGAGTAATGTGCAAACATTTTATTGACAGGTATGTGAAACCAAAGCCGAAAACACTGACACTGCTGATGTTTATCTGTGAAGTTGTCACGGTCATCCTGTTGGCGTCACTCATATTCTATAGTTGCGAACCCCCTGATTATACAATGGGTCCTAAAAATGCCGAATCGATGGACGATATGATTAACACGTGTAACGCTAACTGTCATTGCTCCACTGAGATTTTCCACCCCGTTTGCATCGGTTCCACAACCTATTTTTCCCCGTGCTGGGCTGGATGTCGTACAAATAGTTTGCTTACGAATACATCCGACCCTACAATAGATGTAAGTACTAACTTTCTGTTTTGTTTTTATTAATGACTGAATGAAGAATATGTGCATGTTGGAGTTTAATACCTTAGCGAATGCTTGTACCATCTAACAATTACACTCAAGGGCACCGTATGAGATTTTTAGAATTTATGATATCGGCGGTAAAATTTACCTAGGTTTGATCAACTACAATTCATTGAAATTAGGTTCACTTGTGGTTCGCTAACTCTAAATGCAGGAAAATTATTATTTCGAGAAAAAGTTTAACAACAAACGTTCAGACACGATGACGTGCCGTCATAAAGTATTGCACATTTGCAATGCGCGACTGCGCAATGAAATCTAAATTTAGAAGTTAGACTTCAATGTCTTAATGCCCACCGACACTAAAGAGGCGAAAGGTCTATCAACTCTTCCAAATTATTGATCAACTTGTTTTGATTGGTCAATCAAACGAACAACTTTATATATTTCGTCCCTTTTTACTACGACAAGCTTTGTCGTCGTAAAAAAGTAAGTCGCTCAACTAAAAATGAACTAGCGTTGTCTACGCGCTTCTATAAAGCATGTTTTGGATCCCAATTAATTATTACGAAACAAGTCAAATATCTGTTGCTCGTCATGGCGCAGTGGTAGAATGTTTACCTGTAGATTTGAATCTGGGCGTAGACAAGCACACATTGATGCTTCAGTAAGGACCCGAACATCAATCGGAAAAGCGATAAGTCGAGACTCCTTCTCCTGCTCCGTCATCCAGAGTGCCTATATTTAATCTAACTCGTCGTAGAAATTACGGCTGAGGGCCAGTTTAGGAAAAGTTACGCTGGGTCACGTTTAGCACTGCGCATTAAACAGAGAGTATATCCGGAGATAAAAATTTTATTAGTACTATTATTCTTATTTGTTTGTCGTCTATTTTGGTGAATATTAACAGGCAATATGTGGTTTTAAAGCCCCAAACATAATTCGAAGTGAGAATTAGTTTGCTTTTTAATAGAAAAAGCATAGCTATTTATAAATGTATGTAAAAGCAGCTATATGATAACATCGCTACTATTCGTTTAGCTTTACCAGAGGTTAGAACAAAGCCAAGGAATAGATCTGCTGAACCGAACTGTTGCTTCTGCTGCCCAGTCATTAGTCTGTAATAAACCCACCAGTTACAAGCATGATAGGAAAATTATGGTAAATATTAAAGGCTCAATGAGCCTTGTGTCCGCTTCAGGTGCACGCCTACACTAAACATATGACCTTTCCCAAATTCAGATATGTGCATGTGTTCTAATGAATCACATTAATGGTCCATCTGCAATTTCAGCGCTACGAGAATTGCGAATGTGCCAAGTATCTGGTGAAGAGTCAGCCGTTTCAACACTCGCTTGATGCTGTCGAGGGTCGCTGCAATGAAGAGACTCCGGAATGCACGCGACAGTTTACATTATACGTGGTGACACTTACCTTAATGTACTGTCTAGCATTTCTGCTTCAGGTCGCTCACATATTACTACCCATGCGGTGTGTCGAGAGACGCGACAAGACCTTTGCTCTCGCGGTCTTTGAGGGCGTCTGCTGCCTATTCGGTAAGTGCCGACTTGGTCATGAATTGTATGTAGAACATTATCTACAATACTTGCTTGGCTTACAGTCATATCACACAAATCAGTTGATTACCAGCCTCCGACTTCTACATGGATATCTGCGCATTTAGCATCTTACCACTTGTTTTTATTATTTGATTTTGGCTCTATAGAAGAGAGCCTATGAATAGTACGATAACATTTTATTGTATAATTTTCGTGTGCAAAACGAACCTTTTTTCAAAAATGTTAATCGAAATATACACTAAGGTCTACTCTACGGATTTTCCGACTGCATGTCTTGATAGTTGAGCATACGAGAAAAATGTTGTAAACAATGCATTGAAGCGTTACGTTAAGTACTAGTCATTCGAGAGAGTCATCCAGAGAACGCGAAAATGTTTGAAAGTATATAATCTATTGGACATTGAATTAAAATTATTAATGGTAAAAGGAGCTCTATACGCTATATTTAGTTTAGCAGACGAAACATGAGCACTTGTAGTCTAAAGTTAACTAATATGGCAGGCACCTACCAGCAGTTAGCCCGTCTCTTCATCCTTTTACCCTTCTGCGGTCTTCACATAGGAATATTTCAATAATTTTGTTACCTTGGTAGCGTTCTCCTATTAATGAATTTCCTTGGTCGAACTTCAACTATAGCTAAATTGCATACCTAAAGCTTATTCGCTTTTCGGCTGCAATTTTGCACTGTTTCCATTGGAACGACGAAGACAACGAAATGGTATCTGTTTGATAATCCTTTCGATGCTCCTCTCGTAATGGCAACCCTTTTTCCATGCTTAGACTGTTTCGAGAAAACAGCTAAGTTCGAAGCAGCTTGTGTTCCAGACAGACATATCGATTTTTAGTTCGATATACATAACTTGTCTCTGAAAGCTAGCACCTCTGCTAAGGACTTATCATGTGACCTTCAATCATGTCGTACAATAGAATACGACAAATTTTGCAGAAAAAAATGCATAAGATTTCTGAATCTCTGCAATATTTACTTTCATATAAATCGATTATTTCATTACTCCTGTTTTTTTTTCTCTGTAAATTATGTCGACGCAGCATTCGTGCCTTATCCGTTCGCCTACAGTTTCGTCATCGATCAGTCATGCATTCTATGGGAAGAGAGCTGTCACCAACGAGGCAACTGCTGGATTTACGACTTATCAGCGCTAAATGGCCGCTTGCATGGGATGCCTGTAATAACCTGCGCTATTAATTGCCTTTGTATCTATGGAATTTATCTGTTCGCCAATGAGACACGATTAGCTAGATTTTACGAAGATGATGATGATGATCGCGATAGTGAGGACCGCGACATGCATCAGCAAAGGACCGAAGAACGAGGAGCACTGAAAGCTGATAGCTTTGTACCGGAAGTGCCCTTAGTTTAGCTTCACCTTCAACAAGAGCCTCCATTTTTATCAGAACGAACGAAGAAAAGGCAATAATGATTCTATCAGTAGGTTAACAATACTCGCAAAAATAATTAAAATTATATGTTTGTCGAAGTCCTAAAGGTTATAATAGACCTGTTTGTAAATAATATTAGCTGTAAAAAGAGAGAAGTTGACTGTATACAGGGATATATGTAAAATCCACTGTTAATAAATAACTATCTTAACAATGATAACGTTATTACCTACAGTAGGGCTCTGTTATGTATAGTGTCGCCATAAGATGCTATGGCAGTACCACCAAAACCGCTGAGGTGTATTATATATATATTATGTACAAATGGTGAACAATATGCTATAAATATAGTGTAATTTTTTATTAAATAAACACTACACGTGTTGAATGTATCTTGTCCAAAACCTAACTGCTTTCATTCGGATGCCAGATAGATGCTTGCGGCTAATATATCTTATAACATATATCGTGTACAGAGCAAACTGTAGCTTAAAGGACACTGAATAATGGGTTTCGTTTTCAGTGTCGACATTGATCGTATTGACCAAAGAACACGTGTCGTTGTTTCTATTGTCACACTTCGTCGATCTTTATAGTGGTGCTTTGCAACTTTCTCGTAAAGATCAGTTGTGTATGCATAATTTTGCCAGCGCTCTGAATGTCTAGATTGGCCTCTACCTGGGTGCATTCTTGTATGGATGTTTACACATTTAGGAGAGATTCTTCCCTTGCTATTTCTAGCTCCTGACTGAGTCGTAAAACCTTGCGCTTGAGGAATGTGTTGTATTTTTTGAGGTAACGAATCATGTCTGATTGTTTCTCCACAATGTCTTCCAGAGGTCCGTTGTCCCTACTCAAGCACAAAGGTATTCATTAGTGAAGACTCGTAACGATCCACTCTCTGGGATAACATAATCACTCCCTAAAAGTCTTATACACGCCATAGAACATCCTGATGACAAGCTTATTTCTATGGTTTGTTTATCCCAGCAATGAAATGATTGTCACAATACGGAACATTATGTATTTGAGAAACGAGTTTCATTGAATTTTTAATAACCTAAGCATTTACATTAATTTTCAACCTACTTAGCTTCTATAAGTACTTTTGGTAAAACGAAAATAAGTTAACTTTGCTTTTTACCGATATCCAATTTCCGCGCTAGTTTGTGCTTGTAGAATGCTCGTGATGAAATCTTGAGGTTCAATTTCCGGTTGAAGTTTGTTACGGTGAAACTCGCAACTTAATTCTATGAATATTGCAAAAAAAAAAACGAAAAAATGTAAAGGCCGAGGTACATTCGTATCTGTCGAGGTATCTGTCGACGCACAGTATAAAGGCGTTCTTTAATAGTAAAACCCGTTATGGGAGAGAAAATATTTTGTTAAAGGCCGTGGTGTATTGTGAACCGCTGTTCTAGAAGAAGAGACCTAAATAAACAGGACAGAGTCTGCACTTTTACGGTTGATATGAACAATTATATACATTTCTAGAATCTAATAATCAAACGTCATTATACAGCTAAGTGCTTTTATTGAACTACGTCCTACAAAGGCAAATTAAACAGGCGTCTACCTACTTAAATAGTACATGAGTACAGGAACGATGATTATTGTTTCCAAAGTGATGATTGCCTGCAGGTAGATATACGATGCTATGTTGGGAGGGCATCGAAGACGATCCACGCAGTAATCTGCGATCAACACGCTCACGATAAGCATCATAATTGTACCTGACGTAACAAGCACAAACGCAAAAGAGATTCCGTCATAAAAATGGTTAGATTAATTAAACTAATTCATGTTTTCTTTGAACTTGATAATCATCGTATCTCTATAAGTTTCTATAAGCACAAAGTTTTAAGTTAATATGTGCTAATTTCGCTTGCCAACAAAACACGACAGCTAGAAAAACAGCCATTTAGTTATGTTCACTTTTAAACAGCCTTTATAGCTTACCTTCTTTCTCTATGCGCCATAGTTGTGTACAGCATAGTAGTACACTTTCTATGAATTTACCATGAATGGGCTAAGTGGGCAGCAACGAAAACGAGTGTCATGTTTAGAAAATGGGTTTTTCATTGCGGCCTACAAAAGGACCCAGCACGTAAATGGGGCTGTGACGAAGCTCCAATGAGATTCGCCATCCGTTGGCTTCTTGACATATTTGAAAGAAAAATTTAGTTTCACATAGGACTAAGCATGGTGGTGCTCGTATAGTTAAAACGGACGAAAACATCGATTCTGTCTGACGTAGTGTTTATAGAAGCTCAGGGTGGTTCGCAAACCTCCGTATCGAAAGCCGAAGTCTTTGCGCGCTTACAAGATTCACGCAACAAAAATGCTGAAATCTAAAAATCTTTTAACAGAGTTGGCTCCCTAATTGTTGGACAGGTTAAAACGAGAGAACGAATTTTACAAAAAACTTGTCTTCAGTAATGAGGCATATTTTTATATGATGGGCCATCTGACCAAAGAAAATTATCGTCTATAACGGACAGAGAACCCCTGCATAATCGATGGTAGGTGCAACAACTGGATCGGAAATATTACTAGTCGCCTTTCTTCGAAAAAAGCTATGACCCCTGTTTGATATTAGGAAATGACCTTAGATTTTTTGTACGCCCAAGTCATTGAAAAATCTTTTCAGGACTTGTGGTCGCGGTTGGTCCACCTTAACCGCAGTTGATAACTAATAACGCAATTACGTTATTCAAGAATCACTTCGCAAGCGGCTGATCTTCAAGTGACGTCGGATGGCCTCCAGATCATGTGAAAAATTCTATTCGACTTCTTTTTATATGAGCACCTGAAAAGCAAAATGTATTACGGCGATCGACAAAGAGTGGAGAAAATACGTGTGCCGTCAGAGATGGGGTTAGGTAAATGCAAAAAAATGACTACGAACTGGGTAAAATGAATAACTACCATGAGGAAAACCAAGGAAGCCTTCCTTATTGACCTTGTATTTTTAAGTGAAATCTAAAATGTGTAAAGTTTGTAATAAAGAAAGATTAATGTAAATATATTTAGCTGTTTGTTCTTTTTGGCGTCATATAGAAATTGCTCCCAAAAAGTTGGCTGTCTTTCTATAGGGCCTGAAATCATGTCAGTAAATCAGTCAGAGTTATTGGCAAAAAAGACGTTATTTCAGAAAACATTTCCTACCTGAGCTCATTAGGTTAAGAGTAATTCTCCGCAGATTTTTCGATTTCTGATAAAAGTCAATGAATCCATAACACGATAGGAGCGTGTGCTGTTTGCGGAGGTAAGCGTCTAGAATGTATGAAAGCGCCCACACAACACAGTGAAGATAGACAATGAGGGAGTATACAGCCATGGGAAGATGCGGTACGTAGGGGAGCACAAATGATAACACAAGCAAGCCCACCTATAAATAGAGGCAGACAAATTTACAGTAAAACCAAGCATCGAGGTTAGTGATTTTATTTTATAATAAAATTATCCACTTGGCATGCTGAAAATCCGTCAGGAGCTAGAGGTCGAAAAGCAATCAATAGCATACGCAAAGTAGGCATGATAATATACTAAGTACAACATAACACAACGGTTATCAAACTTGTTTATTATACGTTTAGGCATATGTGATCTCTGAGTTTATACAAATATACTTTATAAAACCCTAGATAAAAAATTCACTAGGTATTGCTCCTAAGTATCAAAAATATCAGTTAAATATTAACAGCAATAGTCTATAGTGAAAGGTACCACAAACCATATAAATAATTTGAAAAGAAATGACAGCGCTAGTCTCTACGCGATTATCTGGGGGGTCGAGGGCGGCACATAAACGCGCTGCGTCGTTGTCTACATCTTCCACCGCATTGAAAGCGATTTCATTGTCACCTGAGGCTGCTTGCTCTGGCAACGATTGGCCCTGTAATAACACAAAATAGACAAGTAAACCTTAGTTACTGTAAAATATAATTAGAATAATTTCTTATAGCCTTGATACTGTCAGCGTCATTGCAAACAGTCTTATTTTATTTTTACTCGTTGTAGATACGTGTTAGACTTACCGCGCGATAGTTGTGTGTGTGTGTGTACGTATTCACGCTATCAAGGAATAGGCAAGTAGAAATTAGAGAATGTTTAGAAAAATGTTTTATAAAAAAGAAACTGACGACAAGTCGCTCATGGAAAATGGTACCTTATTATAAGTGGCAGAATTATTAAGCGCTCCAGAAATATAAAAACGTACCAAATCTATAGTGCATTTTGCCAAAAATTGCGGGTAGCGATTCTTCAAATAGATGATCATTTAGAATAAATATAGGCCTTGAATTACCTTTATTTTAATAACAATGTGCTAAAACTTATTATGGCTATATAGCAGTCGCAGGTCTGTAACGCAAGAGGGACATGACTGGTGCGTGAACAAGTTTTGCAAACCCAATCCGGCAGGATCTCTGTTAGTGGGAGCATTTCCTTGAGAGTATGTTGACGATAATCGGTTTTTTGACGCAGTGATAAAAGACAAAGCTATTCAAAAAATCCGATAAGAGTAGTCCGTGGTCAAATATGTAGTGGTGAGGCTAAGTGCGAGTTTAAATGATATTTAGTTATACAGTGAGTTCATATTAAAAACCCTTTCCAACAATATTACCTTACGTCCGCGTTTAGACTATTTTGTTAAGATCAGTGTGCGCCTTTGTCCCACCTATACAGTATGAAAAAATTGTGCCTAAAGAATCAGTTGCTACCCAAAAGCAATAAAATAAATCTTTGGTCAACAGCTAGATTTAGATTTCTGCGAGTTATGCTGAATTTATTAGCGCGCACTTATTTCTGTTTTTGGTATCTAAAGAAAACTGGTCAGTTTTCTGCATAAATGTATCTTATACATTCGTTCACTATATATAAGTAATTTGCCTAGCAGGACGTCAACATACCAGTAAAGTCGCTATGCCAGATACTAGAAATAATATTGGCACAAAAATGTCACGCACCCAAAACATTTCGGCTGAGTCTTTCTTCACTGCGATTTTATTAGTTTCGTCCTCAACATAAACTGTCATATGAATTGCACCACGATGCTGACCGTGTTATCTAAAGAATATAGTTTTATCTAGCAAATTGTGTACAACCAGTTGTTAAGAGGTCGTTACGATATAGGCCCGGCGCCCAATCGATGGCTGAAAAGACACAGCAGTATACTCACTCAGCAATAATTAACTGAACACAAAAATCCAGATAATTCATTTGAATTTCGAAGTTACTAGGCTTAATTACTCACAGACAGATAATCTGCATGAATAAAAAATGTTTACTTCAGCCAGATGAGAAAGCTTTAATTTGTAACTGACGATACAATTTCCGGTGGCTAAATTGCGGTTTTATTAATTTCATATTTACACTATATATCAAAAATTAAAAAAACTGTAATAATCTTGTTGCGTGTCTCTAATAAATGTAGTTAGTTGTTTCTGTACGCATTTGCCGATTGCTTACAAGCAAAAACAGAAAAGCTCTTGAGATTGAGATTGTTGCAAAAATGTTGAAATTTCTATTACACTGTTCATGTTATTAGTCAAACAGACACTTATTACTCAGCTCATCAAAACCATTAAACATAAATTCGTATAATTCCTGCTTAGTAGCAAACTAACAGAAAAAGGAACAGTATTTCGAACTCAGATGGCGCAACAAACGAAAAAAAACCTTTTCTATCATGAACCGCAATTCGAAACGTAACTGCTTTTGTTCGTCATTACAGTTTTCGGCAACAGCACGTACATTGATTTACCATCACAGTAGTGATGCTAAATGATAGAGACATGCTTTTCTGTGTGCGGAGTTTTCATACGTCTAATCACTAGAAGGCTGAAGATTTTTTCTTATTCTTTTCTATTTGTGTGACCTGACGGACACATAGTAGATCATCTTTGTTCAGCTTGACTTACGGACCATAGTGTACAAACTACACAAACAGAGTAAACGAATTCATTGCGCACAGTTGGTTGTATTATGGCAAATATATATTAGGATACATTGCTGTTAGGGGAAAAGCGTAGTTAATTATACCTGGATCACTGAAAGCCGTATGCTGTCAAAAAGTCATCTTTAAATATTCTAAAGGCATTATTAATAAAACCAGTATAATAGGTGAGCTAGATGAATGAGAAGAACCACGACAACATGATTACAATTCGGTAGAATGATAGAGCGAAAGAGGCTGATACATATATTTGTGAATCTTTGGACATCGTGCAACGTGGGGCAATGAGCAAGTGTTTAATTAAAATTGCAGTTTTTAAAGCATTAAGTATTAGCACGAAGCGTGTATTGCCAAAAATAACATTTTTACTTACTAAAACACACCGAAAAGGTTGACGTTTCATTGGTGTTATCATTTTCTTAAGTCCAGTGATATTCGTTTACCGTTTTTTTTTGCTCTGCGATCCTATCGTTTGATTTGGATGTTAACAAATTTGACTTGATCATTACGGACTTGTATTTGATTAATTTTTCTATAATTTTTATTTGTTTTTCTGAACTTTTTTACCCGTATTCAAATGCCTTCCGTGATCAGCTGCAGCCAAGGGATGATCATCGGTAATCCTCGTAAGAACACAGAATCTTAACACTAAAAGTAAAATGCAGTAAATCCATAATTATCCTCCATCAGACTCAAAGATAGAATGACGCTATGACGGAGATATGCCGGTGCTAACAAAAACCGCTGACATGTTTTCCTATAAAATCAATAAAAAATTAATTTTTATTTTTTCAGGAATTAAGCCTCAACATAAAACCTACCTAATAGAAGCTGTTATCACGACAGAGGCTTCCCGGAAATATAACTTGACAATAAAATTGCATTCAGTTGCATTTCGAGCAGTGTAATAAAACAAGCAATCTTGCGTCTTCTTTAAGTCCAAACGTTTTAGACGCTTTTAATTAAATAGATAGGTTAAAGCGCCTGAAATACTTTACCATGCCTTCAAGGTGTAAACAACAATGAGAAAAACTAGGTACCAAATAATGTAAAACGAATGATAAAAATATCATTGCGGCGTTACCCATTTTTCTAAAGTGGTACCCTGTTAGATCCTTATGATTCGTCTGCTATTCCCGAAATTATGAACTGAACAGTCTAAAAAACTCTGACAACCATTTATTTCTATGTGAAAAGAATCAATCGATGTTTGCCTTGCCTCCACAGTCCTTCTTGCGTTCTTTAAGAGCTTACCGAGAAGTTGTCGTATCCATCGATTCTGGCCATAACAAGCTAGTCGAGAACAATTTAGACTTTCAGGGGCGGGGTATTAGATCTCCAATCATTTAACGCTGAGCTAACACAGAGGCTTATCAAAAAAAGTTTGTCCTGATCTGATATTTTGAGCAAAACTGAATACAGTTGAAAAAGTAGCATTGGACACGGTACGATCTAGTCCACTCGGTTAGTCGGCTCATCCAAAACGTAGTACCGCACGACAGTCATCTTTTAATGTTACACGCACCATCAGCTGTTCGGTAAGCAGAGCGCCTCTAGGTTGAAATTTAAGCTGTCATGTGCGGAGGAAGCCGTTTGTTGCCGCCATACCGATCGATCGGTAAACCGCTTTTGAAACGAGCGACCATTTCCCGCATTTTGTTTTATTCAATTTAATAACTCTAAGCAGGTGCACAGATATATATATATGTATAAAGTTAAACTCTTCCTTGCTTATTGCCAGTGAAGTGTGGAGCCTCGCCTCGAGTAGTTGTACGATTATCTGCATTACTATAATAATGTAATGCAATAATGCATTACTATTGTCTTTTTACAAAGACATGCATCTACTGTTACCTTTCTTGTTTTATTTCGACTTTTCAATGACGCTCTATTTTAAACCCTTATATGCAGTTTGCAAAGAAAGTCGATAGTGTGTAGTTCAAATTAAGTCCCCATTGGTATCCTTTTTCGTTTATTTATAATTTATATGAACTTTTTTTCTCTAATTCTGTCTTCTGATGTTTATTCGCTGGGTTTATTACATGCTTTATTGTGAATACGAGCAAACACTTGCGGGCACTCTTATCTAAGTTCTTTTGTAATACGCTCATAACTTAATTTCTCTCAGAGAATTGAGCTCGGTTCTTCTAATATCGTGTAATAATGTAATATTAGTTGCTGTTTTTAAGGTAATCTCGTTAACTGAAAGGTATATACATTTAATCATATCACTTTGCAAATGTATAAGGCTTGTGGTGAGTCATGGGTAAACCTTTGCGACACGTTGTAAACTTTTTGAATTTGTGTTTCATCAAAAAAATTGTATTGCCCTTAGGTCTCGTCAACTCAACCACTGAATCTCCTTACTCTTCTTCTAGAGGGTCCTTCTAGAACACGGCACATCAGCGCATTTTCACCCAATCTATTACAAATGACATCACGATTGACCTTTTTTCGACATTTTATATAAATTCAACATCGCATAAAATCGTTGCTTGTATCCTTCAAGAACGGTAAGATCACATAATCGTGATAGCGATGGGCGTCGTACTCGACTGGCATGAGCGCGTTAACAGTGAAACCGTATGGGATTTATTAATGCAATATACACATATACACTACACGTGAACTTCTAATAAGCGTCAAGTTGCATAACGTGAGCACCGACTAGCCACATGTATACTCTACTCAACAAGGCTTAATGTACATGAACTATGAAAAACAAATTTCGAGATCTTTAATTATCAAATTTGTTGAAAAGATAGTTCCCATGGTTGTGTTTCTCTGCAGATTTTTTAAACCCAAGTGCGCTGCTTCAAACCCATGTCACATCACTTTTAAATCCACAAGTCAGGAGTTGTGTAAGAGTTTTCGTAGCACTTCGGAGACCGTTTTACTCGTCAAAGGTCGTATATGTAACATCATCCCCGTGTGCTGCAAGTTTATAGGGCCAGACAATTTGTGTTTTACCTCATCAATAAACAACGTGAATAAGAGGTTTCCCAGACCCGTACGATGTAACTCTTTTAATATACAACACTAGTATCAACAGAACAAGATCTTTTCAAAAGCACGTTCTAAGTTCACGATTTCTTTTATTTGTTTTGCGACTATGCCAATCATCATGTTACTCGACATAGCACTAGACGAAATTTTTCTCGTGCTCCTTGGGTAGTTGTCTCTTCCGCTTTGGGTACCCGGAAAATCCACGCCTTTTGATACTTGATAATTTCGTTGTGGTCAACATTTTTAGAGTTCAACTTATTTATTACTGGGTCATTGTCTGTTTAAAAAAAAAACAAAAAGTATTCGATAGTATGGGACCCGATTGGATGGCTACTTCTATTGTACACATTCGTTCTTCCGAGCATGAAACTAAATCAATGAGAGTTTCACTTATAGGATAGTTGACCGACTGTTGCGTGTGGTTTAGGAAAGTTAGGAAGTTCTAGGAAATGTTTTTTTTCTATATGTGCTAAAATCAGTTGTTACGATCAACGTTGTCGCTTACACAGGTCATTATGGATACGATTTATACGTCTAACTATTGCTAGTTCTATAAGTTATCCCCTGCAATCTAAGGAAGGGAAAGTTTGTGTGGCATGCTTTTTGGATATGCTTAGATTTCGATAGTACGTCGTATCGAAGGCCATCGCCCATTTGCGCTCTAATGGAATCCAAATCGGAAGCGATTAAAGAATTATATATCCATGTAGTCCGCACACTCGAACCCCCATGTAGTTACATATTTAATGTAGGGATTGTAACTCGTGATCAGAAAAATGCGATCCAGCTTTCCTATTTCCCACAAATTATGAGTATTATTTTCCATTAGTCCATAATTATCGCCTTCCAGTAATCGCCACCATGGGTTTAAATACAAACAAATACTAGCATGTTTTTATATCTAGAGGTAATAAATGTGCATATTATTCATTTATCATATTAGATAAAAATAAAGTTTCAGTGTCTTTTACTGAACCGAACTTTCGTATCTTTTTGTTCCTGCGACAATCAGTTATTACATTATATACCACCTATCTTCCTGCGCGACCTTCTTTCATCCTCGTACCGAATGATGTATGCTACCTTGCCAGAAAACAACGGTTTTTACCTCGAAGAACTTTTTCAACCACTTTTTGAGTTCTTGACCATTGTCGAGGGTAAAGCCAGGAAGGTGATACTTAAACGGAAAAGGTGAAAATTTGTCAGCTTAAAATTCTGAGAATAAGGAGAGTGCAATAAAATCTGTCACTCATAGTCCAGGAGGACAGCTTTAACGATGTTCATCTTGTGTGGCCTCACGTTCTCATGGAGAAGAAGAGACGTAACTTCGTTTGCCGAGCCTTTTTTCTTGAAAATACGCGTTGACTTCACGCAATCAGACAACATAGCCGTGCCAATTAGTTATCTGTATCGTAGAAAGCAGTTCCCAGTGAAGTAGGCTTTTGCAATTTCGCCAAACGCAAGGTATAATATTATTTTATAAGAAGGTGGATTTGGACCCTGAGGCTGGACTTTTTGCCCACTTCGACCTCTGATCTGTGATGACATTCAGACACCACTTCTCGTCACCGGTGATAATTTTGTGTAAGAATCAAACATTGCGGCCGCGTAATGTTCGATACTGGACGAGATGTTGAGATGCAGTGGTAAGTTACCATTTTTTGTTAGGTTTAGAGATTTTACGAGGTATCCAAACTCCAAATTTCTGTGTAAAGGCAAAAGATTTAATGTGATTAACATAAGTCGTATGGCTACAGTCTGTCTTTTCGTCCATACCGTTGCTGATCGGTCATTCCCTTTCGAGTCATCAAACTCAGATGATTGTGCAGGGTGGATAGCATCCTCCAGGTTCCGGACACCGTTTTCAAATTTGGCAAACCACTCCTGAGTAATCTTTATAGTGATAGTATCGTCATAGTATTGAAAATGTCGAATATATTAAATACATTTTTTTTGACTGGGAACGTCAATTTTAGAAGAGTTCTGTCGAGTTGAAATTTCAGTCACAACGTATTAATTACCATGGTAGCACACTGAGCTGCAAGAGCAGAGAGAACGATACAAAGAAGAAGTGGGGGAATATGGGAAAAAGTTTCTGAAAAATACGTGAACATTTTTTTAACATGGTACATCAAATTACCTTTTTAATCATACAACTACCCTTAATTAACTAAAATTGCTTTTTCAGTTAAATTATTAAAAATAGTTTTTGACTTTCTGATCCGCTCAGCAGCCTTTGTCATACTTTTAATATTCGCAATAATGGGAATGAGGCGCTCCTCGCGGTAGGTTGTCATCAATAGTTTTCCCCCTGATCCATGAATAGAAATGAAATGATATCAAAGATATCCGAAATGCGAATATTGAGTCGCTCTGATTCTGCCTCAATTTATCGAATCCGCCCTATGAGTTATGCTTTCAATTATTTCACTGATTTCGCAGCAGATGAGTTGTTCTCCAGACGCCATTTAAGCATATCTTTCGGCTACTGTAAAGTTGTGTTTGCTCTCCCACAAATTATGGCGATGTTCCGTCGGTCTTCTTCTTGCTCCAACGGTATCAAAAATACCTATGAAGTAACCGATGGCTAAGTAATGCCACTTCACAAAAAGTGGGACTGTCTTTACACGAGGTGACCACTGTATTAATAAAAACCATGAACTCGCGGTCCTGCCGACCGATAAGGATTTGCTCTCTGCAGATTTATCGGGAAGGCGGTAGGCGATACCAGTGATTATTACAAAAGAGACAATAGATATTAAAATGGTGCTTGGGAATATAATTTTATTTTCGAAACATGCTGATTCTGTGAAATCTATATATAAAAGCAGTTGGTCAGTCGCATATGTTTGCTCGCCGTTATTGATGTCTTAGGCAGTAATGCCGAATCAACTCAAGCAATTGTGTTAAAGAATATGTGGATAAAAGAATAGATATGTTAACATTTGATTCGTTCTTCCAATCCAATCCACTCGTCTTTCAATTTACTTTGGCTGACCGCTTCTTATATTCACTACAGGCAACCCTAATAGTATATGATATTATAAAATACACTTCGGATTCTGCCACACATACTTAAAAATAAAGATGGTGCTGACTTCATTTAATTTATGAAGATGTTTAACCGAAGCTCGTATCTAATACCTTTAACACCTTCTATACATGTTTCTCCTCTCTTTACCTATTCTAATGTGTTTTGAATGGCGACATTTGCAGAAATGTGTGTCTAGAGTTGCTTTCCGTAGGTTATCTTTGCGCTTCATATTCATCTGGGCAGACTTTCGGCCCGAACCTTTATTTATACTACTGTGAGTGATATTATTCCTGGTTGTCAAGTAATGTTAAAATCGAAGATCTATAGAGATTAGAATGTTATTTATCAAAATATACTCAATAAGTGCATATTAGAAGAAATATCACATAATATCCAATATAAACATCTGATAGTTATTATTTCTTAAAATATAAAAAGTAACGTTTGATGCATTATGCTATCAATCCTCTGCTATATGCAGAAATTGGTCTTAAGGCGTGTGGACATATTTTTATCAAATGCTTTGATTTTCAAATTTGTTTCTGTGCTTTTTAGTAAACTTAGATAATATTTACTCACACTGAACTTCTTTTCGAAAGGTGCTGCTAGAACTGTCTTTGAACTTATGCTGAGCGCGTTATGCAAATTTAGTGTTTTTTGAACATTTATAGGATTTGATTCGGAAAGAGATTTCGAACGCATTATTATTAGATTATACTTCCAGTTATTTTGCGCGGGTCTACACGGTTTTTCTTCGCAAGACAGCCTGACACCTAGACCACGCTGTTGTATAAGTATTTGTAAAAGCACATATTTCGATATGAGTTAGCTTACAGGAAATAAAATGGTGGCCAGAAACGACAATAGCAGCCTACAATTGCATGTATCAAAAATGAAATAAAAGTTGAAAAGATACAAGAATGAGTCAAAATTACGCTGCCAAAGTGTTATCTTACGTGCTTGACACAGTTCCGTTTTTCTATAGTACTACGGCGGTGTCAAAGATAACGGGAACTGAAATAAGCGATAAATATTGTTCTGAGCGTTCAAGCTCTTCTAAATGGGCTTTTGATCTCATCTAATGGTAGACACGCTTTGCAATTTTTCCCATCATCTGCATGATCAATAAAAAAATAATGCGTTTACATTTGTTCAGATTGAAAGACATGGTGTTATTCAACGAAAGGAGTTCTTGTGAGGCTGATATCATTGAAAAATGCTCATATGATATCCAACAAACAAAAGTATGAACGTCGCACGAATAAATCAGAGGTGATCTGCATAGAATTTTCTGAAGAGCTTGCCTATGCATCGCAGATATCAAGAATTTGCTGGCAACTTTTATTGCTTAGCATTATTATACTCATAGATTGTATGTGGTGTAAGCTGCTTGCACCTTTATATTTACAAATAAGTTTATATAGCATTTAGCTAGATGATTGCGCAGTACACGTTTATGCGGTTTAATGTCGTGTGGGATTGATGTAAATCTGCATAGGTCAGTATAATAATACATATTACGATGTGAACCCCAAACGCAATCAGGCGAGGTGGGAAAACTAAAAGTCCAAAAAGGATGAGGTGAACTTACGACAGCGCTGTAAGGATAGTGCATGGCCAGGCTGACTTTCTCGTATGATATGAGTATTTTATGAAAGGAGGGCTGAAGTCTCTGAAGCTCCCACCATTTAGGCGCCTATTCTTTAGTGCGGAGTGTAAGAGCTACGGCAAATTTCAACAGTCTACGTCTATTTATTTGGGTATTCTTGCCGTTGTTTGCTACTGTAAAAGTCACTATACGTCAGCTTTGGTATCGACTGTTGGCCACTGGCATTAATTTCACGCCATAGTAAGATTATATGTCACCGATAGTATTAGACTGCACGTGCAACCTGGCCGCAAAATGACACCACTGAGAGAGTCCAACTAGGGTGTTCTGTGACTTCGCCACCTTATAGAGTTCTGATTGTAGAGGTAAAAATTTGTGGAGAGAACATCGGTCGTTGGTCGTTTTATAAGATTAATTTGCAGCCGATGTTTCGTGTCATAGGAGAGCGGACTCTCCTTATCATCAAACATCTTGCTACTATGCGATTACAAAATCGTTATTGGAATTATTTGGAGTTAAGCTCTAAATATGTGTATCATAGACGAATGTATCACTGAAGACAGATTCATGTGAATGGGGATCATTCTAGACCTGGGTGTAAAGAATAGTGTTTTTTACCATAATAATAATAATACTAATGATAATACAACCAACAAAGCGATCCCTCCAACGAGCCCTTCAAATACCCCAGAATCCTTCAATATTATTAATAAGTTATTTCACAACTCTAGTGTTAGTTATTCCGCCTTCCTACTTCTCGTTATTAACAATAATTACTACTAGGAACTCTCTCTCTCTCTTTCTCGCTCTATATACATATATCGGCTTGCTTAAAGAGGAAACTTAATATCCAACATATCTCGAATGCACGCTAAAAACAAGAAAAGCCCCGATGCCCCAACATGGCTCTGTCCTTGTTTAATTAATGAATCAACGCTAAACTGCTGAATAACGCCTAATAATCTATGAGAGAAATATAGACTATTCTTGTTCTTACAATAATGCTGGATTTACAAATCTCAGCTAGCAAGCAAGCATTAGCAGCACTTTGAGACATATTATTGGCAATATAACCGCGACTTACCCTCACTTTTTGTATACAAGAGAAGAGCAGTAATCTTGTTGTTATGCGCAATTCTCCTATAAAATTCACTTTAATTAATAAGCTATAAAATTAACAAAAGTTAAAATTAAATTACATAGCATACTTCGTTAACGGTGAAAACGCCGTTCGATTCGGTACAAACTTGCTGTTGGCTTTATCATAGGATGTGACTAGTTAAATGTGATGACTAGTTAAATAAAAATGCTTTATATTAATAATAAAAGCACTTACTTTTTATACGTTTTAAAGCAATTATCGTGTTAGCTATTTCTTTGGGGATATTATATATATATATATACGTTCAAAAAGATAAGCATACGAGTAGTGGTACTCATGATTTTTGCATGTAATGGGATAAAATTGAAAAATCAAAAAAATTAACTAACTTATTAAGTGCACAAAGTTCCGTAAATGCGCATAGAGCTTTTTGTTTTTACGGAATTACGATTTCACCGATATGGTAATGCTGCTTTAATACATGAAAACGTCCGATGAATGACTGGCCATATTTCCCTTTGGCTGCAAGTGTAAAAACTCCTCTTAAGGATCTCATAACTAAACCACTAAGACTCGTTTCCTGCAGTTTCATGATACTCACAAATAATGAGTCTCTGCAAAAAATATAAGGTAGGCATTTTTACCATTACGCAAAAAATGGGCGCATGTTCAAGTATTCAGGTATCTATGTTGCACCACACTTTTTTATTCTTGATACAGATTATTAAACAAACATTAGCATATAATGCCGTAAATACGACCTCTTTCCCTTTAATATCAAACTACAACAGAAGTATTTACACCTATTCTAATGTATTATTGTTCTCTGGTTGCTTTTTGGCCACAAATGATTTTTCAAGTCTATCCTACAATGATTAACATTCTATTATAAATCCATTAAAGTATATAACCTATTTAGGTAATTATATCTGTGGCCATTCACAGCGATTACCAGATTTCCTAAAACGTTAATGATACATTTTCTTCTTTATTCGAGACGCCACTGCTGCCGGCTTGTCGTTACAACCATCCCACATTACTGTACATTTAAAGGCGGCTCGTCTGCTTGTTGACCTTTTCTACGGGTTTATATTTTACTGACGTATCTTGCTCATTCATTTTAAGTTCTTCTTGTATTCTTTCCATTGCGCGAAAAACTTTGGACTGCAGATACAACGTGCCACCTTTTGACCTGTCATTTACTTCAAAAAGGTGCTTGTAGTTTTTTTCAACCTCGACTGGGTCCATCTTCGATCCAACGTTAAGAATCTGCAGCGCCTCCTCAAGGGTCATACCTGCCTTGGCATTAGCGGCTGCACGTTCAGGCCGGTTGTGGCCCATCCTTGCAGCTGCCTGTTGGCTTGCGTTAATTTCTTGTCGAACGGCTCTAGCAAAGGCCCGTCCAACAGCCTGCGCTCCCAGGGCTATGATCTGCGCAAGGTACTTGGCCATCCGCTCGCCTCCTTGGCCAAAATTGGTCTTCCAAGAAACAACAAGAACAATGCCTTGTCCGTTTGTCTATTTGTACTACAGGAGTAACTAGCGTCTCTAACACGAATTAGAAGACAACACTACATCATCAAGTCCACCGGATGGAGCAGCGCGCTTTTGCAACCGAAAATCGAACAGTTCATACACGCAAAAGAATAACGGCGGATGAACGCATTCGGTAGATAAATAAACAGCGAGCAACGGGCGGTTGAGCCTGAAGATGGATCCGCAATAAATTTCTTCTTTTAGCAATTACTAACATATTTGATACCCACAAATTTCTTTGAAGTTATTGTCGTCAGGAGGCCTAATTTAGGCCAGATTCTTATATCTAAGCATACATTTCCATCTTAAACTCTTGTAGCTTGAAGATTAAAGAACACAAAATTTCTATGACCCACATACCAGATTTTAGCACTTCGCCAAATTGATGGCTTGAAATCGGGTAAGCTGCAGTACCTTAAAATATTACTGAAAGAGTTTCCAAAGCGATTTAATATGTCTTGGGCATGTTGAACAAAGTATGTGTATTTATAATTGACTCATTGAAACATCCAAACCATGACTATTTCATTAACTCATTAAAATATTGAATACCAGATTTATAATCATCAAATTAGGATAAGAAATCTTTTAGCTAACATGCATTTTAATATGACTCTATATTTAGCAGTTCCCGCGATTTGCTTTACTTTGTTTAAAACCACTTTACTCGAAAAGTTTCAAGTAGCAGATAGCACCAACAGTAGATCTAGATCACAGTATACAATAATTGTTAATTCGTCAAATCAATTTAACTTACTATGTTGCAAAAAAATTATAGAGAAATAGTTCTATAAAAAGATTTCCTCTTCTTAACGATGTTTTGAAGTTTTCTGTTTCGCTCGGCTTTTTGTTAATTACTAAGACTGCACTAGGCAGGATCTGGCATCTGCTCATGTAAGACTCGCTAGTTACCGATAAATGAAAACTAGCAACCATGTACTGGCATCACAAATTTATGTCTATTTGTTAATATCATAATTCACGCATCAATTGAAAATGAAGATATATCATATCCGCTATTTGGCATCGGTCATTTCGTCCTGAATCTTCTGGTGAACATATATATATGCCTATATTATACCACTATAATGAGCGATTATGCACAGCTATATGAGTCCTTTGTAGCAAAGTCTAGATAAAAACTGCAACACAATAATCAAACCCATCGCCATATCAGAGTCTGTGCTGTTTCTACATGCCGTATGCTGCATCACAGTACATATTACTTGCATGTGTTTTTGTTTCCATTAAACTTACCTAGGTACCATATATACATATATCTATAGATACCAATCTGAATCTAAACAACTAAAAAATAGCGTAACTAACATCAACAACCGTTTAGATTTTCAATGAAGCTTCTAAAAATAAAGAAATAATAATATGTGGTAACTTCTTAATTGAGCAGTCCGTTGAGTTTATCCAAGCAAATTTCAATGAGAACACGATCTTCCTGGTTGAGATTACTCCTTTTTTCTATGCCGTAAACTACCCTACAAAGTTCTCTCACGGAAGATGTGTTTTGCAACTCAGGTCCAGCGCTCTTAACGTCAGAATTCTTTATTTCGATGCCCTTTCTTTCATATTTGAAGTATTCATTTTGTAGAGGCTCTATTCTGTTCACATATCCCTCCTCAATGATACTGAGTATTTCGGCCCACTCATCTTGTCGTAGATTCCCTTGAAACAGCTTGACCAGTTCGTCTGTTATTTGCTTTGTGGGTTGAACCACAAGACGTAAATCGTCGACATCTCTAAAAAAACTAAAGAAACCAGCTAGGCCAAATAATTTGCCTATTTTCAGGCCCGACTTGAGTACTCTTTCGCCGACCCCTCTGAGAGCCGACCGCAACCGAGTATCCTCAATGTCCTTAAACGATTTTCTTGGAAGATAAGAGAAAACAATGCAAATAGCAATTATTAAACAATCATTGTTGATATTTCCTTCCAGGATAGTAGAGTAATGGTTAAGAACAGCTGTTAGCTCTGCAGTACTCAGCGCTTCAAGATGAGGCGCAAGATTGGCTGAAACAAACGAGAAAAGAAGAGCCGATGCTGTATTGCAAGGGTAAATGGATACGAGCAGTCGCGCACACTCAGATGAATCTGTTTTGCGGATTATAGCCCCTGTAGTGCATTGACTGAGAAAAGCCCGAACATGATCACATTTTTGTCGATTATCATTAGATAAGTCAGTCATATCCAAAAGCTCGGGTTCCTGAAAAATAGGCCCGTATATACTGAACGTGTCCGGCCGCATAACAGAAAGCACCCTGAGAACGTCCCTAGTAAATAACTGCTTACAGAAATCTTCTCCCATAGCAGCTTCGAGAACATCGTCTTCTATCTGGAAATAGTCTAACCGCAAAACTCCAAAGCAGAAGGCGTTTACTGCGTGATCAAATACATTTCTATTACTCAGAAAGAGGAACATATGCTTGGTTATTAAGTGAGTTGAATTCAGAAGTAACCTCAGTAGCTCTTGTATGCGATCAAATGAGAGTTCCCCATCGTTCTCGAGTATATCGCAGGCTAGTAATATGCTACCTAGAGTGGATGCATGTTGGATGTGAAAATTTTTTCTAGCGATTAACCATATATCGACTTCAGCTAATTCTTTAGCCAGCGGGTGATCTGATATTTGCGTAAGTCGCAATTTTGATGCCAAATCTACTATAGAATCGTCCTCCGCCTTGTGGTTCATAAAATTCGCTATTTGTATCAATTTCTTAACATAGAAACTAATTGCTTTAGGTGGAACCGAACTGCATTCTACCGAAGCGTCCAAGATATCTGCCACATACTTGACGAGATGACTGCACATCAACTCAGCCTGGCTAGACTTACTTAATGGCGGCAGATGTTTGACAAATAAAAGCATCTGATTGTAGATCTTTATAAGACCAACGTGTCGTTTCATGCCACTGCGAGCCTCGCTTTTGCATAGTTTAATAAGTAGGTCGCAGATATCACTAAACAAGTCGGGGTCCACGCCCGAGAATGATCCCTCAATTAGCTTTCTAAGCCCAAGAATTCCCTCCATAATACTTTGATTTAACTTTTCAAGGCAACTGGACGTGCCGTTTTGCTGAATTTCATTGTATAGGGTCGATGTAGTCTGGAGCAGTCGAATAAAACCTGAAGCGGAGTTAAAACAAAAAAAAATTATTAGAATCTTAATAAGATATCTAGATAAGCATTTGCGTATTTTTCAGTATTTTCGAAAATACGAGATAGAGAAAAACGTACACAGATTTTTTGCTTACGAGCTCCTGATCATATGCATGATGATCCATGCATGTGATCATCCTGATGCACATGCATGGATCTAGGATTTATATAGATATATATATATAATGTCCTTAAGCTGATGAGGAAGTACTATTTAGAGCAGACACACCTAAAGGAAAATTTCTTTAGAAAATTAAAAAAAATAGACTAATAGTAGATATTCGTTGTACAAATAATCGGTACGATCGGAAACCACGCGGTTGCCGTATCGTTCGATGAGACGACCGAACACCTTCATCAGTTAATCTGTTGGGTTTTACTGTCGTTAATAAGCTCTGGATCAGGAAGCTGGTCCTCAGCTCGAGGCGTAGAGTGTCCAAGTTACCTCACGTGCCTCTATGCTTAGCAGGCAAATACGTTACAGTGCCTTATCACGGGGAAGAGCTCTGTTGACGAACTGTCTGAGCTAGTTTACTTACTCGAACATGCTTTCTGCTGGCTACTTTCACTTGGTTAGGCCATATAGTATTTGTCTGTATAATCTTACGGACACACGTGTCGGCATAGGATAGAATGCCTGATGGCGATACCGGAGGCAAAACTCGACATAGAGGACACTTATATATAGAATTCAGCTATGACCCAAGCGTCCCGAACAACCTGGTCGCTTGATAATACTAACTTTTGATCTACTAAATCTACTGATTTCTATTGTAGGTACCTGTAGAAAGCCTCATGCAAAGAGCACTGTAAGTATACCAAATTATTTTGGGGGCCATCAGACAAAACCCATGGTAGAAGGAAACTGTAACTCAGAGCATTAATAGTCATTATAGCCGGATGAAAAATAGTTATTGTAGCTAGATTAAACAATGGCGTTTATTACATTTAGTTAACATGACATTTTAACTTGCCTTTAATTGCAAGCATCCTTGTCTGAACCGTTGCTCCGTTGACAACTCCGAAAGCCGCCAATGAACATTTTATAAGTTCCCGAAGCATATCGATACCGTCAGTTTGTTCAATTAGGTCGTCCGTGGACTTAACGCTGTTAACGATAATTGTCGATATTGCCTGGATTCCCGATGCTAGTGAATCTAGTATCTCGACATTGATTTTTTCAAGCGTCATACAACGTTCTTGCAGCGCCAAAAAATCATCTACAAGACTCCGGCTATTTCCCGCCGAAGATCCACCAGAACCGTGAAACATCTGTAACAAAAAAAGATATTTCTACTGTAAAATAATGTTTGAAATAAATCCTAGGATATTTTTGTTGAACTAAATCAATTTGTCACAATGTTATTTAAAATAAACAAAAAGAGAAACCACAAAGTAGGATGCACAAAAGCTATGTTACCCGTCATGTGTTTGACTACATGCTTTATACCAGTACATAGATCACAGTATGCGAATGAGTGACTGAATATTCATTAATGCAGAGGTGTTTAGGGAAAAACCAAAAGTGAAGGCAGGGCTAAAGGGCAAGCAGGATCAATATGCAATGTAGTCCACTTTTGACTACCCAGAAACCATTAGGTTGCCTCAAATTGATTTCTATCATAAACAAAATGCAGTAGACACGTATTTAGTTAAATAATCGTTGCTAAAATATATACATTACTCTAGCATTTGGAAGTTCAAAGTGCTTCTAATGGTAATCACAGTTAAGAGAAGTGATTCCTGGCGTATTATACATAATAACAATGCAGAAGGTCATCATCGTTGAATTTCTTCATTAATTTGGCCCACCCTCAACTGTTTCCTGTGCATGATAGTCAAGGAGTCGACATGTAATCTAAACATCGAATGAGTTCATCCTCTCAGACACAGCATGAGACCGAATGTTTACAGCCACTCCCTAGAAGAAGGCGGTTAAATCATTTGACTCAAATGCCTTCTACAGAACTATCAAATATTGAAGTATCAGATCTCGTTAAAAGCATACAAAGTGCTCCCAAACAAACTAGATTAGCTCAGTTCACCCGTAAAGCCCCCGGTACAGGAACGTGCTCAGAGCCAAGGTGCGCTTTTAGAGAATACGTCCACCAAAAAGTATCACCCTCATCTGATCAAAATCACTGTACAGAATTCAGAGGTATCAGCGGTAGTTCACAAAGAAAAGAGTAAACACATCAGAAAGAAACACCTACAAAAACTCACGACGGCTTGCATTTCAAAAGTGGTGGAAGAATACAATGAAGACGAGCACTGCTGGCTACTCCCTTTTCAACAGGAGGAACTTTGCGCAGAATAAGTTTTTTCTCGTGTGGCGCCGGTTCAGACTTGTGCTAGTTATCTACCTATAGGTACACGCTTTCTTGTAAAACCATATATCTATTTATATAGAATCGATTTTCCCGCTATTGTAAAAGAAGCATTAATTTATAGGCATTATAACGCTTATTTCTCATAAACTAGAGTCTGTCAACCATTCAGTTTGTAGCACATTTATTGCATTTTTTACTATTGCAAACAGCAGTAAAAGAGAAATCAACTTAACCACTAATATCTCAAATTTTCTTTCTGTGTATAATCTGTATCAGCCCTTCACAATATTTAGCGCCCCGGATAGCATTTCCAGCGCCGCAATTCAAAGCGATAGCCGTAGTTGAAGGGGAATTCAAAACGATTCAACTGGCAGACTACAGAGGGAAGTATGTGATGCTGTTTTTCTATCCATTAGACTTTACCCTTGTGTGTACACTACTGAGGTTTTGGCCTTTTCCGAAGTAGCTGATGAGAGATTGAGTGTGAGGTTATTGTTTACTCGTGTGGCTCTCAGTTTTGCCATCTAGCTTTTACGAACACACTCAAAAAGAGGATGGCCATTTCAGAATTTAACTTTAATGCTCGTGACTTAACTACAACAAGCAAAGGACAGCATTTATATACATAGAAACTATTGAAGGATTCTACAGTACAGACCATGCATAGACATTTGATTGATATCCCTGCACTAAACTTAACCGCAATATAAATGTATAGCAGGTCGAATTGTTAAGCACTCTAGCTTAAGTGTAACACTGATGCAAGCTAATCTAAATATCTATTTAGATTTCTTAGTATCACTCTTAGGTTTATATCTATAAACCTAAGAGTGATACTAAGAAAGACTAGCTAAAAAATAGGGTGAAATCCTTAAGTTAGATTTTAGAGCTCATTACAGCGACCGAAGTTCCTAAAAGTAATTTTGTTATTAAAGAGCAGTAGTGATATAAACCTGTGATTAGATTATTATGTCATAGAAAATCTCTTCTTGGAGATCTGTACTAAAGTATGAAAAAAGCACATAACGGCTAAGAAAGAAATTTTGGATACTTTTAAAGGCTATCATAATTAAATAAAATAGCTCCGTTTTGCATCGCTATCTCAATTATAAGGCGGCTTCTGAAAAATATAAAGTACTCTCTTTGTCTCTCCTGCGGTAAACGAGGATCACCCAAATGTACGTCTTCGAGACCCATGTTGGATCAATTTTTTTTCTACTCTTTCTCTAAATCTTTATCTATGTTTTTGAACATTTGTTTGTTGATTTGCTTTAGGGAAACTCTTGAAGAGAAACTGCATATACAGTTCTAACGTATATTTTTACATTTAAACGATGAGCAAATAATGATGCTATTTTAGAGGATTTCAACGGGCGCTTCATCCTGACAAAATTCTAATGTTGATAAAGACTAATTTCTGTTTATCGTATCCCCAATCATATTTTGAAGAAAGAGCTATAAATAACAAGAACGCTTGCTAAAGTTATATGGTAACGGTAGGCTTTATTCCGAACAAACGAGATTACTAAAATAATTATATAGATCACTGTGCTAGTGTTTTGGTATTGAAGGCTACGGCCCAATTTTAAGAAAGCAAAGCTTGTTTAAGGCAGACTGGCAGCCATTGACATCCCACTAGTAGCAGATATTACTAAAGACATCGCACATAAATACGGTACATTCAAAGATGACGACAGTATCGCATTTCGGGGTCTTTTCATCATCGACCAAAGACAAAGGTTGCGCCAGAAAGCAATTAATGATTTACCTGTCGAAAGATCTATAGAGGAGACTATTCTGGTGCAGGCATTTCAATTCACCGATGCTCATGGTGAAGGTAATTTGAATTTGAACAAATTGAAATCTTTGAGTATATGATAGTACAATATTTTGTAAAAGGAAAATAAATCAAACTGAATTTGCCATATCTCCTATCCAATTAGACCTCATAAAGTGGTTTCGACAACACATCAAAAACGGGCCTAGACTGCACATGTATCAGTTCGATTCTGCGGGCATATCCTTTTGTTAGTATAAACTATTACCTGCCAACAGGCTAGTAATAGTTTCCATTATTGGCACTCTGCAGGACTCATAGTATTACCGAAAACCTATTATAAAATAGGCTAGTAATTACGCTAGTATTCATACCAATTAGGGAGAAATGCTAATTTGACTTTTTCCGTTGTTTTCGCTTAAAAAAATAACTCAGTGTCATTTACTCGTACTGTTCAACCTGTTATTTGCAGTTGAAACATTGAGTGAGTACATTAAAATCCGAAATATGCAAACTGGCCAAGGAATCCTTAAGGCCCGTTGCTGCACGACGACACTTCCAGGCAGCTTTGCAGACATTAAACATTTAATCTAATGTGACACTATGACAAATAGCTAAAAAACTGCAGAACGACCTTTTTTTAGGGTTGTAACTCTGAACTATTTTCGGTTTCAGTTTGCCCAGCTGGGTGACGTCCTGGAAAGGACAGAATAAAGCTAGAGATAACAAATGAAACAGGAATTATTTGAAAAATATAGTGCTGAAAAGGAAGAAAGCTGCTGCACTGGCCGAAAATCCAGCCTAAGCCAGGCAGCAGGGCACATCTTCGATCAGCCAAGAGGAACAATTCAATACTGAGGACGAAAGTGAGGAAGCACAAGGAGCACAAGCGGCCAGCAACTCAACGAGCACACGGCATGACAATACGGCACAAACCGAAATGCTTGATGGCACACATGAGGGCCCAAAGAATTGCAATAGAAGCAACGCTACTGGGAAATTAGCGGCTACAGCACAGAAAAGCGAAACAAAGAGCAAACCACGAAACCATGTTGAAAACATGTTAAGAGTAGGAGTTATTATCTACATCTCTTTTAAGCCAGAAAAAATATTTCGTAAAATGTATATAAGTGCTCATACTAAATGGAGCACTGTACTTTAAGATATTCCGTTGAAAACGTTGCTTGTTCTCTCAAAATGATACGTTTTATCGACTAAAAAAGTTTTAATAATATTGGTTATTTATTTAGTGTATAGATTCATTACGTATTGTAATTCGGCATTTCAGCAAATTGCTTCACCAAGTAAAGTACTTCTTCTTGAAGAAGTTGCTGAGGAATCTGAATAACATATTTCGTGAGGAGTGAAAGTTACAACATCAAGCTCTGATGTGCCGAAGAATAGCAAACATATTCAGCACTTCATAGTTCTCAGTCGGCATACCTAACTACAGATGGCCACCACTAATTAAATAAAACAATATAAAAGCTAGAGAAAAAGTGTAAAGATCGGGCAACAGCACAAACATCTGCAAATGATTGACACTATACAACACCAGCCCAATGTACCTAAACCTAGAAGATAGCCCACAGTCGGTTCTCGGTATATGTACAATAATTATTGTCAATCATAGCCATGTAGCAGCGTTATATGCATTTCATTATAATGTCCTAGTATTACTTACTGTCCTAGTACTGCTTACTTGAGCCGAAGGCCTAAACAACCTATCTCCTAGTCCAAATAAGAGACCAGAAAAAGTTGGTCTCATAAATCGCGATGACGACACGTAGATGTTGCACAATAATTTATTGATACAAAAAATTATAAATTTAATTTTTCGGAACGATTTACATTTCCTATATACTGTCTTACTGTGGTATCTGTATCCATTCATAATACAGACACCGCACACATGATGCAAATCACTCTTGGTGCAGTACTGTGAACCACTTTTAAAGCTGATTGGCTGATTCGATAGCCTACATTCGCACTCATTGATTGACTCAGCTTAGGCAAAATAATAAAAAAAAACTGACTAACGTTGTACATTCGTGATACGAATTGGGCACCAAGGCTAAAGGCAGCGTACTGTAGTTTCACATGGAACATACTCCAAATATTTAACCACAAAAAATGCAAGTTTAAAGGATTATTACACTGTGCTATATTAAGTGATATTCAGTTTCATCTAAGGAATAGCTCTCTTTATTGGATCTAATAGGTGTATTCGAGATGCCTTTACGTAGCCGATTTCACTCCAGTGCGCACTCAACTATGATGGCTTTTACGTTAAGGCCAAAGTCCGTATAGAAGTTACTTGCCAGAATTCACTAAAGGCTCCTGGCATACCAACTACTTTTTGAAGAAGGTCACGTATAATTACAAAGTTTTGTCTATGTACACACATCTTGCCGAGTTTTAACCACAGTACATTTTTCTCGTTTAATATTCATAATTTATGGTTAACCGGTTAGAAATTACGTGTATCAATATCCCTCTTTTGAAATGATAACGAAAATTTGTACCAAATGGCGCTTACCTTAGAGTGAGGAATCAAATTCCTGCTACCGTGGAACTTTTCTAATCAAGAGTGATGTTTAGATCTTAATAAATTATTTAAGAATTTCAACGAAACTTTGAGTTTAAAAAATTATATAGAGTTACGAGAGTTTTCACTCGTATTCTTTCTTTCCACGCCTCTGCCAATCCCGCCATTTTTAAAGTTTCGCGGTCAAGCTCAAGCACTGGATTTTTCAAAAGATATTAACGATAAATGACCATAATTTTTTTGCAGGATGTCACTCCAAGGAAAATATCTCGTGGCTCAGATATTTAGCTTATAGTTAACATTACTTTCAAACATTTGTTAAGCTTAATTCATTCCAGCATATCCTCGCCGCTTCCCTCAACGCATGCGTTGGGACTGACGGCTCGTAACCTTGACGCAACTCGGCTGGCACATCATTTAATTGCCGGCTAGTACGCATCGAAGGCAGACGGCGTTAAGGAAATCCCTCCTTGCAAACCGGAAATTTTTCACTAGGTACGTATTATTCTTCATTTTTATGATTTTACGGCAGGTAAACCACACAGTCGAACGACTCTAAGATACTCGTTTTTGGTTAGAGCTTTCCGTGACTCCAATGTTTTTCTCAGCTGTTAAAGTAAATCTAAGCAGGTGATACGAAGATTAGCTTGCTGTCTGCAATATCCTCTTAGCAAACCAAGCCGCGGAAACTAACATTTAATGGATTTACAGTGACATAAAATGGAAAATCTGCTGAACTGCCAAAACAATCCCCTCTACCTACCTACAGAAACACATGATCTTAGGGTAAATAATTTCCTTAAATGGTAGATGAGACAAAGTAGCAAAGATGCAAAAGTTAACGGGGAAACCAATGAATTAATTTATCGCTTGTCGCCGTCATTGTTGTCGGTCATTGTGGCGTTGCGAGTTGACGAAGCATGACGGAGTCAACACTATCGTTTGAAAACCACTTAGGAGCTACAGAGATCCGCAGAGCCGCAGTTGCGCATTTAGCTAAATCTAATCAATGTATAGGATAACAGATCATAAACACGTGCTCTGAATTCGGTGATTTAGTGTGTTTCTAATGGCTTCTGAATTAATTTATTGCTTGTCACCGTCATTATGGCGTTGCTAGTTGACGAAGCATGACGAAGTCGACACTATCGTTTGAAAACCAGTTAGCAGCTACATAGAGCCGCAGTTGCACATTCAGCTAAATCTAATCAATGTATATGATAATAGATCATAAACACGTGCTTTGAATTGGTGGTTTAGTGTGTTTCTAATGGCATCTATACAACTTAGAAGTTGATACTCCGTTCTTATATCATAGTCTAGACCATTCTGCGATCTAGTAGAACTCTAATCAATGAACATATCGTATTAAACAAATTTTCACAGAATATCTTCCGACTTACGATGACAAAATTCAGTTCACAGATTCGTGTTTGTTTCTTTGTCATTTTGTTAAAACATTTATTGAATATTATCTTAGGTAAGCTTCTTGTCGTCGCTGAGAAATTAGCGTAGGAGGTAATGATAAGTCAGACCTCCTCAGAGGCTCTCAAACATGTTTCTGCTAAACGAAGTCAACCGTTCAAAACGAAAAATTGTCCCGATAATTGATGACAAATTGCCCCTGCATGTGGGGGATGTTTTTTCTTATTACCAATAATAGGCCATGTGAAGAAATTTTTGGCGTCGATATGGGCTTTTGTCGCGCAAAACCCGCGCCAGTTTCGTTTTGATTTTATGCTATCGATGAGCTCGTTACTCGGCTCAAAAAATGTATACAGAATTGTGGCACAATTTGTTCGTTTGGTTTTATTAGTATGCTTGTAGTGAATTCGGATAATTTGAGCTACAAGAGTATCCGAAAGATAACACGAACTGCTGAAGAAGAAAGTTAAGCGGTTGTACCCGAAAAATGATAGACTTGTCCACTAATTCTTCATATTGTATCACCACTAATTTAGCGGGGTGATCATCATCATCATCAACAATATTTTCAATAAAAAAAATCTGTGGCTACCTTTCATACGATGAAACTCTCCAAATAGGGATTGCGAAGCACTGTTCTTAACTAATTTACCGCTTATTATAGTTAACTGTCTCCCTTATTACTCCATTATAAAAATTAATCATTATCGTACAACGTTGAAAATTTAGTCAGATTACCTTACTTTTTGTACTTGTGGTTTTAATATACATTGCGTTATAAGCTTGCTGCTCACACAACCCGTCACAAAAATGAGTGGTTAGTATTTTTACAGCGGGCGATGGCTTTTGGGTGACGTGTATGTTTTTGACTGTTCCGACGGCTAAAGAAATTCATAAATTTTGTCCTCGCTGTTTAACTGTCTTTACCGTTTAAGAGCGACACTTTAGGATCATTAATTAGTCAATTAGTGGTAGAAAATAGCGCAGGTCGATAATGATCGATGTCTTGTCTATATTTAGGTCATTGGCTATCTCTTTACGAGAGTTTCCCAATGACTACCTCGAGTTTACCGTCGAGCTGTGAGTAAGTCTTGAGCACACAACTGGCGCAATGACATATGTAGAAACTAAGCGTAACATTTTACATTTAGTTCCTTTGGGATGCTGGAAATGATAGGGATAAAGGGATAAATATAGGTTGGTTGTTGAACACTAAAGTTGGTTTTATTTGTTAAGTTTACTATATTTGTGCAAAGTTGCTTAAAAAAACAATAAAATAATTCTTCACAAATATTTAATTGTTGCATCATTAAGGCAATTGTTTATTAGGGAGACTAAAGATGATAATAACTGAATGAAACTTGCAATTACAACTCGCCTCTAAAGAGCGCTTCAACTGCTAGAAAGCAAAGCCATCATTTCGAAAGTCCATCGGTAAATGAATCCATGTTATCGGAATATATATCGAAGGCTCTGAGCCGTGACTTTGATGTCTCAGCGGTCGAAAGAGTGACGAAGCCAATATGTGTGCTACACTAGGGCGCAGAAATGTTACGTAGGGGAAGTTGTTTAGGTAGAATACTATAAAAAATGTATCAAAGAACATTAACCATTATTATCGATACTCGACACTACGATATCGAGGCAATTTCTTATTTGTTTGCAAAAATTGGACTCAAATGTCAATCAAATGTCTTGCTAATGCTTATTGTTTTGAGTACACTATTCTAAAATTGGACTCAAATGTCAATCAAATGTCTTGCTAATGCTTATTGTTTTGAGTACACTATTCTAAACACGATATAAATCGTTCTTCTTACTGGATTAGTGCTAGCATTCGCATTATGGTGATGGCTATCAGTGGCACCAGTGATTAGCGGAAGCTGTACGTAATGTTGTATTCCCATGAGGCACTGCCTGGAATACGGTCATGTTTGACAATCATTCTAATGACACCAACTGATTCTCCCGTGTTTGTGGTTGAGTCTGTAAAAGCGCTTGCGGTTACAGTGTAGTTTTTATCTGAATGAGTCATAGATCAGTATTGATAACCATTTACATGTTTGCATGGGGTATAGAAACATCTTGTCTCTCACATGTTAATATAATTCTAGAGTTTGGCGACCCTGTTTAAAAAAACAGGTTTCTGCTTTGGACATGTGAAGTGCCTGTTTGTTCGCGGTTCAGATCTGGGTATTGATGACTCTAGCCTTGAGAAAAACTCACTTTAAAATAAATGAACGGAAGTGATGCGAACAGAGTCAGAATAAACCGTAAGCGTATCTTAAGGATGAGTAAGAATAAGTGTCAAATAATTATTAATAATCTATAAATTATATATGCTGATAAAATATCTCGTAGCGTTTCTTGGTTTTCTCGACTAAAAAGAGACTGTTACAAACTCATGATGATCCATCATGGCCAGTGCAGGTGCCGTCCAGTATGTTACCTAGTAGCTACAATTATGAACCTATCAAGCAAGCTACGTAGAAATTTTGTAGAATTAATAAAATTCTACAAAATTTCTACCTTTAATAAAAAGGTATCTCCTCAGCTGTACTTTGTAGGATGTCTGCGTGTGGTTTTTCTGTGTGAAACTGCATTGCTTCCTAATGACGGAACGTATCACGACATTGTCCGTAGAGAAGTATTTTCAATTTGTTGCGAAAGAGAAGGCACTTAGAAGTGCGGTGAAATGACTATTTACCATCATATGTAAGAATTTTCAAGCTATTAAGTACAGTTCAGATATCGATTTGATCTCCTCAGTTCATGGAGGATCTTAGGTGATTCGAGACGTAGCGCAGCGACTATTGCTACTCTTATCTGTTCGATGACAGCCGCGTTGTCGTGGCTACAAAGAATTTTGAATTGCAGTTCAATGACCTTCGGACAATAGCGACTATACATATCACAAAGATCTCACGAAAAGCAACGGATAGAATCGTACCAGAAAAGCAATCGCAAAGACAAATTGCTAACTCGGTTAGTTTAGTGAAACGTATCAGAGGGTTGCAAAGCTCGGGAGTCACTGTTATCCATAAAGATGCTTCCATAAAGACGTTGTATGTATCGAACTGAGTCTTTTTAGCTATTGTGACCAGGCGAAAAACTTTGCAATTGTTTAGAATGCCCAAAACAATTCCTTCTGGCTCTGTTAGATGAATCGCATTTTAAGATTTTGGTTAGTAACAAGTCTTTAAATGTTTAGGCAAATCTCGTACAATCCCTGCAGAACAAACATCCAAGTCAAATAGTGGTGCGATTTCCGTTCGTGGTGCAGAAGCCGTGCATTTAGTCAAATGATTATACAGTGATGTAAGTAAGAAAAATGCTGTCCTAGATACGAGGATGGTTACCGAATAAGGTTTTGTATGAGACATACCTTTCCATATGTCAAAGGGTCTCTGAGCTGCTTATCGCTAATGAAACTGAGGTTCTGCCATAATTTGAAAATGCGCTCGACTTGGATTTTATCAATAACGTGTGAGATTCAGCAGTTTATAGTACTACTACTGTGGGCTCAAAACCCATGCGTGACGGAGATAATGCGACAATGCATACGAAGCATGCCCAAACAAATTGCAGCAGTGATCATAGCCAGATGTGGAAGAACGAATACAAGCCTTAGCAGGTGGTTTGCAGATCGAAAATGCTTTCGTAGCGACAGTGTCGTCGAGTGTTAATATTAAAAAGCAGACGAGGGACCATCTTCAATCAAATTTCTGGTGGCCTTATTTGAATGACTAATAGCTGTAGATTCTGCACAATTTTTGATTGGAGTTGGATACTATAAATGTGTTACATAGTTTAGTCATCCTCAGAGCTGTGTCACAAAATACTGCGCATACAGAATTTTGTTAATTAAAGATATTAAAATCTTTTTATCGTTATACGCATCCGTTTACAGATATATAGAGATGGCGCCGAAAATCGCTCATCCCGCTCCTGACTTTAAGGGCGTCGCAGTCGTCGACGGAAAATTTAAAACAATTCAACTCTCTGACTATGTAGGAAAATACGTGGTGTTGTTCTTCTACCCACTGGACTTCACTTTCGTTTGCCCAACCGAAATAGTTGCTTTCTCTGAAGCTGCAGCACGCTTCGAGGTATTTGACTTTTTGTGCCATCATTCTGACGCATATCGTAGTAGAGTGGCACAAATGAAAAAAATTGTAGAGACATTAGGTTTATAAGTGCACACTATCTTCCAACAATTTTCAGGAAATCGACTGCCAGGTGATAGGTTGCTCCACTGATTCGCACTTCTCTCACCTGGCGTGGATCAACACTCCTCGCAATGAAGGTAAAATTATTATTATTAGCGGAATGTGCTGTAATATTATTTTAAATCATATTTTATGGCGAATTGATCAAGTGGTTCGCCGGAAGCCCAATTCTTAATGGTTGTATTAAGTCAGCTAGGCATTTCTGCTTCATTACATGTTACTTAGAGCCATCTAGCGTAAGCATTTGTCTCTGGTTTTACTATATTTGTGCTAGGTTACGCTACCTTATGTGTTTTACTACATCTGTGCGAAGTTACGCTACCTCATTAATTTGAGATGGTAGCTAATTTTCAGCTTATTCTAGTATTCAGCGACCGTTCGATTATTCATTTAATTTTGTGACACTTTTTCCATGTACTATAAATAGTATCTGACAGTCACGTGACGTAAACTACGCTAATTCCATGTTTCAAATACATTTCGCAGGCGGTTTAGGTAGCATGAACATTCCGCTACTGGCCGATAAAAGCATGGAGATTGCGAAAGCATACGATGTTCTCAAAGACAACGATGGCATTACGTTCCGTGGATTGTACATCATAGACGGGAAAGGAATATTGCGTCAAATCACCGTGAACGATCTCCCGGTGGGCCGCGCCGTTGAGGAAGTACTGCGGCTGGTTCAAGCTTTCCAGCTCACCGATAAGCATGGAGAGGGTAAGGCCCACGATAAGATTCGACAACAACCAGATAAGGAGATGATAGCCGATGATACCTATGATGACAGTGCCCGTCGGCAATCAGCTCTGAAGAGACCTCACAGTCCACAAACCCTCGGTCAGCACCACCCCGACTCCAAAATACCTCGAGTATGAATCCTCCCCTCTCCCTTCCCGATCAACCCACCATAACGTGTCCTTCAGTAATGACAAAACGTCCATGGTGCATGACCTCTGAACTGACGAAGCTAGAATATTAATAAAACCAAATAGGGGAAACGTGGCAACAGCATGATGGCCTTATCTGAAGACGAACTCTTCAGCTGGTCTAGCATAATTTTATAACAGACTTAGTCGTGTTCTGGTCAATGAAGAGTTGTCGTAAGAATTGACCAAATATTGATGAGACATTAGTTGCAAAAAGCTGGATAAAAATAACTTAACGAGCTAATAATGTTAGGTGCTTTATCAATTCAAAAGAAACCTTAAGGAGGCAAGTACATTTAACAAAATCGCTGACCTGTGTATATTTTGTTTCAGTGTGTCCTGCCAACTGGAGACCAGGATCTGCAACGATGAAGCCAGATACCGAAGGCAGTAAGGCTTACTTTGCCAGTCAGGCTTAAAACACAAACAGAAAAATTGGTTCGCTTTACCAGGTTCTTGTTCTATGTAGATCGAGCATATACTACCAACCTATAATGATTGAATGTGCACTTGATTTATCCATTTATTATAATATCACAAAAGATTTCAATAAAGCAACCAAGGAATCTTATAGAATGTTTTACGGACAAATGCTTTTTTACCGCATCGCTCCTCAATGATAGGGGACGTTCTCCCCGTATTTACCGATCAAAATATTTTCTCTTTTCCTTCTGTGATTTCGCTTCCTAGACGTAGGCCGTCATATATTGCACTACAAAAGAACATTTCTAAATACCGTGATTTTTGGAGGCGCTAGTAATATTCTATTGAAATAGTTTCTGCTTGATTTTAATGAGCAAATACTCTCATCGAATGCTCCACGTACATTTGCAGGCTTAATCTTTTTAACAAATATCAAAATTAAAAATATTGCCGATAAATTTCGTTATTTCGATATATATATATATATATATATATATATATATATATATATATAGCAAAATTATCGAACGGATCTGAACCCCCTGAACACATGTACGGATAAAACAGGTGACGATGGCAATATCTATTTTTAGAAAACTGAAATATTAATTCCATGCAAAATACGTTGCTGCTTAGGTTTAATAGAACTTTCGTGTATATTATCACTGGGGTTCATTAGTGTTTTTACGCTTTTCTCCTAGGATTAATTAAGAATTAAGCGTAACACAAGTACATAAAGATAATGCCTTAGTCGTGAGAATCATATTATGATTTCTGGTTTGCATAAATTTAAAATTTTGTTAAGTGATGAATGACTGGCATTGAAAGCAACGACCCGCTGAAACAATGTAATATTACCTAAATCAGCCCCCTAGTAAAATTGAGTCTTATTTCTAGTTACAAAGGTATACATGTTAAAATTAATGTGGGAACTTTTGAATAGGATCCAGAATTTGTTGTTATTTATTGAATATTATTGTTTTTCCAGATTTTGTTGTATTGTATTAGGTGCTTTTGCTCTTTGTAAAGCGTACAACTAGAATGGTGAGCACGGTGTTTTGAAGTAGCTTAGCTTGTCCTCACCAACGACATTAGCATACAAAATCTTCAGTAAGGGCAATTAATTTCAGGTTACGGATGTAATTTAATCGTATTAGTGCCCTTTTATTCCGGCAAAGCACCTGTGCGTAGCGAAAGTTGAAGTTAGTTATACTATAGATTTAGGTAACTTGAATAAATCTCGGTTCAGTTGTATTTATAGAAACATATAGCGTGTTGCAATGGTCATTTTTTAGCAGGAGCTGACATTTAAATATTAATCCGAGTTTAGTCAAAAACATTTTGAGTTGTAATTTTTTGTACTGTCTTAATATACAGACGTCGTACAACAATATTTTTTATTCTATAATGCAAGTAAAGAGAGAAGCCTAACCTGACACACGTGCCACACCTGAACGGTTGGTATTAAGCGGAGATTTCAACAAAACATAACACCTATTGTCGCAAATAGTAATAAATGCATGATTTATTAATAAATATATTATAGATTTTGTAAGCAACTAACAGCGTTCGCAATCGTAAATTATCGTCATTCGTCAGCGGTTTCATATAATTGAGGTTTATGTAAAATACAGACTCATTATGTCATTAATAATAATATCTACTTGTCTATATGTTATCGCTAATTGTTGGCAGTTAAAACGTCGCTTTATTGTATTTTTTTATATCGACCATAAGGTGGTGAATGTTTATGAGCTCGGAGCGAACTGGTAGAGAGCACAAGGGTGGCTGCGAAATTACTTTATTAAAACGGTGATAGTACTGCAATAGCTGTTTAAGGGCCTCTTGTAGAATACTTGTGCCACATTTGAAATTTGTAAATGTCTTCATGATATCACCATTCATGTCGTCTATAGCCTTCTTCCAACCAGAGTTGAAATTCCGTACGAGCGTAGCTACTTTATGTGATTCCTTCTCGAGTTCATTGATTTGACCTGCAAATTATTATACACATTAGGTTACAGCATAAGCAGCAACCGTATTCTTGCCTAACAAAAAAGTGCTGCTCAAAAGCGACAAATTTACCGTCAAGAAGTAAAAAGGGACAATCAAAACCACAAAAAAAATCAGCTTCCATTCAAACGGGGTAATGTTTGCACGCACGCATACACACGCTTATATGTACATAGACACAATTGGTATATGGTGATTTGCACTCATTTACGCGACGATTACGCTTACCTGGATGACCTTACAGGAACGTTTACATAAAATGCGTTTTCCAAAACAAAGGCTAAGCACGAAAAATGGCCAGATTGTAGTGATCCAACACTACTAACCAGCCTTATTTTACTGTTTCTATAGAACAACACATCTACTCTATGTATCACGTATTCACTATTACTCTTTATGATCTTCTTCAATATGCCGAATAATTTATTCTTCTCGCCAGAAATATTTGGGGCTGGTGTTGAAGTCGCCCACTCAGGGCTTGAGACTCCTCTTTGCTGTTTACCGTTAATTTCCTTGGGATCGAAAGGTAGCCTGCAGGTACGAGGTCTGGAAGATCTGATGGGTGGAAACAAACGTCCCACTCAAGCTTTTGTAAAGCGGCTTTACGCTCTTTGTTATGTAAGGCTTTGTTCCTATGATGGCGCAGTGATAACCTGCTCGTCCATGAAACTCAAAGGGGTGGACAAAGGGGTCAAAGGGAAACAAAGGGTGGACTAGGTTTAAAATTAGACGTAAATACGCCTCGATTTGTACTAAAACCCAGCTGTCTGAAATAAGGTTTAACGCGTAAAGCGTGAACATAAAACTCGGGAACATTTAACCATGTGAGGCCTAACACTGTCCTGGCGAAGAATGGCTTTGCGTCGCCTATCGGGTTTTTTTCTGTTGGATCTGTTTGTTTATTGTTTTTTTTGTTTATTCGACGTAACTGGGTTATATACACATTCTTGTTGATCATCTTGTTCTCCTGAATCATCTCCTAGCACATAGAACCTTTCCAGCTTTACAAAACGCAAATCATGGCCTTCCTTCGATTTGGCTTAACTCGAGGCTTTGCTAAATTTACATTTCTATCCATTTCTTTCTACGCTTTATACCGACGTAGAGACATACTTCTCATCACCCATAATAACTTTGTGCATACACCTGTAATTGTAGCTGTGTGTTGCAAGGAGGTAGACGAAGTATAGACAATTAATGAAAGACCTATTTCCTTATTCGCTTTATCCAACTCACAGAACGGTCAGACATTCAATTTATGATAAAACGTTCATATTTTCAAATTGCTGGCGTTCGTAACCTATTTTCTCAGTCAAGTGACAAGATGTTCGGTTGGCCAGCCGGAGCAAGCTACACCATCAGCTCTAAGATCGCATTTTTGATTTTAGCAAACATCTTTAAGCAGTCCTTATCCTACAAAGCACGTATATTCCAGGCTGTTTCGATACCTTTGACGAAAAAAGTAGGGTACGTGTCGAAAAAAGCCTCCCTTTTTGAAATCTGAATCCGCCATAATATGCTGTCCACTATAAAATTACAACGGGCTTATAGAAAGAAGAGGGGAAAAGAACATTTGCGTATCGTATATTAGTTATATATATATAATAGACACGTAAATAGAAACGGAAAATAATGAAAAAGGAACTATCACTTATGTTTCAATTTAACAGAAGTAATGAACAGAAATAATGGCAAATAATACACATGATGATAAAGATGATTATAGCAAAAGCTAGCAATTGACAAGGTTTCCACTTGGAAAATGTATAACAAAGGCGTTATTATCTAAAATGTTCATATATAAAATTCATAAACAATACGACGGATAAAACGATTGCAGTTAAAATTTAATTATTATTTATCACTATTATTATTATTATTTAATCAAATTATCTCTTCGATGCCTCAGTGAATATAAATAATTGTAAGACCCGTGTCATGGTAAAGCTCATCCGGGTTACTTTAGCTGACCACTAACTCCTATAAACGCTCCAAATTAAACGCAAGAGATACTGATTACATCAATGAGATTCTAAACGAGGTTTGCAAATGCCAATGTTTACAGTTCTCCCTATCCGAAAGTATAACATCCCCACCAGTGCACAAAACTTTGTCAAAGGCAGTATCCATTTGCTTCAACAACTAGAGGCAAATCAATTTAAAAAAGGCCTTACGATATTCTCTGACGAACGAGAGCAATGCATCTAACTCCAAAAGAGGTTGCGTTTGTATAAAAGCAGAATAGAGAAAAAGCGAGACAGACATTCAAGCACTTCCTGCAGGATTGTATATATATATATATATAACAAGAGTACAGAATTATCTAAGCTTAAGAGTTAAATAGTCTCTATGCCTTTTAAAATTTTGACTTCAGTCCAGCGAGACAGTTAAACGACTCACTAAAAGTCAAATAAAAGGTTCTTCATGAATCTTGCAAGTCACTTTATACGCTGCAATCTATAATAATTAATAAATAAGAACTTTACGAACGTAATAATATATAATGTTAATGGTTTCTTCACGTTAAATTTGCAGGTGAAGGTGTTTAACAACATACCCTTTTCAACGTAGTACTCGGATTCTTTAATGAATGTCATCATTCCTCCAAAATGTACGGTCAATATCTGCTCGACGTATTCGCTTTGACGTGCCGTTAGTAGTGTCCTAAAGTTTGTTGTCTCTTTTGAATCTTCGTGCGTTCTTTGTTGAAGTACGCCAAGCATCATATCATAATTGTTGATGAGAAAAATTAGTTGATCTTTTCTGCCGTTGAACTCAGCTGCCATACGCAAGACAAAATTCTCTACCTCGATTTGAAGCTGGCCAAGAAGCTGAGTAACTCGCTCGTCTGGATGGTTTTCATTTATTGAGACAATCGCAGCGGAGAACTCGGCATAGCGTCGCGTAATATAATGTGGCCTATTGTCTATGCTGCCTAACTTTGAAGGATCGCAGTCTCGAATCGATGCTATATTCATTCGTAAAATTGTTTCAAATCGGGGAAAAATTATTTTTACCAGTAAATCCCAATAACGATCCATAACAGGAACGTTTCGAGAATGCATGACAACTTTAAGTTTACGGATGATATGAATGCAAAGAAAAAGGGCAATCGAGTCGAAACACTCCGCCACGAAGCTTTCTGTATGCTTTGCAAATAATGACATGCTTTTTTCAAGGATATTGTCGAACATATCGACGGCTCCCTGCTTTGTTAGCAAAAAGAATTCCGAAACAAACAGATATTCTCGCGCAGCGTTATCACATAAAGCATACTGCGTTGACCGAAAAAGCTGCTCAAATGGATAATGTTTTTCACTCTTTGCTGAAGCATGCGGTACAATTACAGGTGCTTCTAAATCTGCCCCCAGGACGGCGTTGCGACTACCGAGCGTGAAGATCGTCGATCGGTTCTTAAGTGAGGGCTTATTGAATAAACCCCATTTTGGAGTGTCATCGACGCCCATCAGATCATCTTTATCTGGCACATCTTCGAACTGTAATTTCATTAACCGAGTTTGATATGCCTTGAAATACGATAAATACACCTTACTAATGGTGTCAACGTACTCTTCACGTATTTCTTTCGCAACTTCCCGCTCATGAGTTGCCAAGAACTGGAAAAAGAGCCTGTGCTTTAACATGGTGTTTTGCGCCAACTGGAAGTTAGCATTCGCCTTACGAAACGAAAACACTTTTTGTAACAGCCATTCCCGGATCTTTGTCACGGCATGAACTTTGAGCTGAAATAAGCAGAAAACAACTCCCTATTACTTTTAGTTATATATGCGTTTATTGGTATCTTTTTTCAGAAATTTTTAAAGTCACACCTTTTGCCCGAAACAATATGAAAATCCATCTATGTATGAAGCTATTTTTTTAAAGTCATTTGATTTTGTATTCAAATACAACACAATGTCTTTTAAAGCTTTATAACCGCCTTTAATAGAATGTAATCCAGCTTCTAACTGCACACTGTGTCGTTTTATGATATTTTCAATTGCATAGATTTTTCCCATATCAGTAATATCGATATATCAAGAGTTACCTTATCGAGGATATCTTTTACATCCTGACAAGACGAAGCCTCCTTGAAGCTCTGCACCTTTACGAATGAAATCTTCTGGTCGAGTAAGGCAAGCTGGGTAAGGAAATCCTCATCTATAACGGGGCAATCGAGAATGACGTTTATCGTTGCCTCAGGTACGATAAAATCGTCCACGAACTGACTAAGTTCTCCCCGTACCGCCTGTCGATTCTTTAGCTGGAGGTTCATCGCGACAGATTGACGTTGAAGGCTCTGAATTTCTGATGATATAGAGCCAAGATCGTTCTGAAAAGTTAAGTAGTAGCCTGTTCATAATAATGAACAAAAGATCCGATCTTTTTTAACATAAAAAGTGAAACCTACAATAACCAAGGACGCCGAATTTTTAGTAAGGACTTATTTGAGATATGCATACTGTTTACCGTATTTGTGATTAACTGTTAGGCCTACTGCATCTGTGTTTTAATTAATATCCGATTAGATAAGCTTCATCATGTACTGAATTTCATCTAACACCCACAATTATATGAAGCAGCAAATTTATCAAATCAAGCTCAATATAAGTGTAGTAACGTTTACAACACTATCCAGAAGATTCCTCAAGTAAATATGGCAATCTGGATGACAATATTATATCATGCGTTAACTCTGTTCTACAGCAGATTGACATCATAATTCAAATGACTTGTACATATAAAAAAATGTTGTCACGGAAAATACTCCATCTATGCGTCAGCCATTGACTAATTCCAACCGTACCTTCTCTCGAGGGCATTTATATAAGTGAAGCCACTATACCTGAGAATAGTACAAAAGTTTAGGCTTAACAAGGCTTTTAGATACTTGTATAAGTTAAAAAGAGTTTTACCTATACTTCTTTATTATACAAAAGGTTGCTAAAAGCCTATCCTCACTTTATAAAGAAATAATTCATGTCTTTGAGTGCTTTTATGTGTTAACCTATTTTGATTATCAGCGTACAGCATTGCATTAGTTCGGCCCATTCGGGTACGACTCAATAAACTCTCGACAACTACATAAACTCAGTGATGATTGTCAAAACAATTATCCATTATTACGCTAAATAAAAAAATCGGAATTTTTACAGGATGTTTGTCGTTCTGTACTTGCTACTAAAGGTTCTGAAACATTTCGAACGATGCACTTTCGTAATGATATAATAAGCAAATGTACTTTAGTTTACTTGGCATCTATCGTAAAAATACGGCAATAACCAAGAAAAGAAAGACAGCTTTAGAAATCGACATTTTGTATATACCACATATACTCACTAAGATCTGTCGTTTACCTGAAACCCACGTAAGATGCTTTCCATGCGTTGCAAGATGGCGTCACATGAAGCAATCTCTCCGTGAAGTGCTGCAATGTCTCGACAATTGTGCATATAATCTCTAATCGCCTCATCCTCGCTGCCCTTAAGTTGCTGTTCAACACTTCGAGAGTATTCTCTGAGGTCGCGGCCTGACTCCAGAGCTTCCTTGATCACATCATGGCAAAGATTCTCCTGGATATGATCGTCCACACCAGCTAGGGGATCCGCCATCTGTTGTCACACCAATAAAATTATTATCACAATTTAGATGAGAACAACTGCTTATTTCTAGCTATTAATGTTGAAGGACGTGATTGCTAAAAACTTATAGTTTGTTAAAAGTATCTCAGTTTACTCGAAATATTAGCTGCAAGCTCGATAACGCACGAGGTTTTACAAGTTCATCAAAATTCGTGCAAATTTTAGGTTACAAATGAAGAAAATAAAATTTATTATATCCTTTGCCTAGAAAAAATAATTGTAGAAAAATTATGTAAATATAATTGGACTTTACATGATATTCGGCATCATTTACCATTATTTTACAATGCTATTCTTGGCTTATTCATATATGGAAGGCGGATCGCCGGTCAAACGTTCAGTTCAGAAAACTGACCTAACAAGCGTGGCTTCTAACATAAAAACATACCCATCCAGTTAAAAGAGTTTGAGCAGATCTCTTAAAACTGAGGTAACTTAAATATCACCGGTTGGGATAGCCTACAGGGTGTCCAATTAATCTTGATGATGTTGACATTTCTGTGCTTGTCACAAAATTACTTTTTATAATTATGTTGAAATATTCACCCATGAGACGTGTTCCGGATGCCACTTGAGCCTTTTCTATTTAATAATAAGAATAATGTGGTTGCTAGATCATTGGTATTGCTCTAGCTGTTCGACCAAGAATCGACCTTCTATTAAATAGAGTCAACAATTACGTTGCAATTATTAATTAAACGTTGCAAAATTCTGTTGACCGTGATTTAAAACTGACCGCAAACTAGGCTTCGAATTCTTTGGACTATGCGTCAGTAGCCGTTTTTAGTTAGTACATCTCATAAATGAAAAACCGGTAAATCTAAAAATATACATTTAAAACAGAGCCTAAGTAAGCAACAAATAATAAGGTAGCATTAGATCGCTGTTGAAGCGTAACAAGACTTACGAACAAAAAAATTGAAATAACTGGATATAAGGAATATTACTTTAAAAAAAATATGAACTATTGTTCGAAATAAATATATACTCGAACCCATTATATAAAAAAAAGTCCTAACAACGTAGCCGTTATTATCATAGTTCATCCGGCAACGTTAGTGCAACCTAAATTCTGAATTAATCGTACCAGTTACATTTGCCCTCATTTCTGAAAAGAAAAAATAAATGATTATCTTTTAACAGCCACTGTATTTAAGCCAGACCTTCGAAAATCACTTTTGGATGGAACGTTTTAGAACAGACCGCGCAGACATTTCGGCCACTCAAAAATCGAACTGAAACTGTTTTTCTTTTATTCTAATGTAAATATAGTGTGTTGAAGTTGACCCAGGCACGATCCCAATATCTTCTTTTAAACATATAAATTGAGCAAGCTATGTTCGCCAGTCGTAACAAAACAGTTATTTTATTTGAAAAAACAATGTTAATATGGATGCGCTTGCGGGAATCGTCGGGAAAATCGCTTTTCTGTGTCTCGCTATGTTTAACTTTATTTCGTCTGTTCACGTAGCAGAAAAGTATTCATGTGCGACGCCTATTACAGAAACGTATTAAGCTTGTGTTATCTACGAGCACCTAATCCCAGATGTTGAAACGGTCGTTTTAGAGTTTCCTTAAGGTAGCAGGATCTTGATTATTGACTAGGTGTGTAGGAATACATCCCGTTCCGCAAGCAAGCGCATTTCTTTGTTTGAACAGAGCAGAACGTTCGATATATTTTTATCGTAATGTGTTTCACTCTAAATTTACTCACATAAATGCATCATTAGCTGATATACCTGGGTTGCCAGCTGACCAGCAATTTAATAGGGCCCGGTTGATCATAAACCTATCTCACACACATTGATACAGCCTCACAAAAATACATGTTCTATATAAAAGTATTCGATTTTTTGTGAAAGAATATCCGATTAAGTAAATTATATGTACATTTCCGTTAGGTTAATGAAGCTATACATAAGTACACTTCAATTGTCATTTAGTAGCATAGAAAGTTATAATTAACATATTGTTGTAGGCTACCATAGAGTTATATATTGATTTGCTCATGTTAAACAATATGATTGAAAAAAGTTTATATCATTAGAGAGTCTTGTATTTGTGTAAACAAACCTTATAAAAATCCTCTTCAGTTCTTAAATTTCACAAAATTACTACTAAATATTCTCAAATCTGTCAGTACTAAATAGCTCTCAGCTGAGCTGTGTTTTCAGCAAAGATAGATGTCATCATCAAAACAAAATGTCAACTATTTATTAAAATTATCTGACCCCTATATTTTGCAACTGGAAGTTTTCATTATTACCTTCCTTATAATAGTAGGAATTATTCTATATAGCGTCAGAGAAACTACAATAAAATGTATCATTAATAAAAAAAAGTATGAAATCAGTTCGCTGGTCATATTGGTTTTTAAATTTTCGCGCGCGAAATTTTAACTCGCTGTTCCGCAGTTTATTATTTGTCGGAAGCAACTTGCGGCAAGACTTGTGTTTTGAGGAGCAGCAGAGCAGGCAGTTGCAGTGATATAGAAGAGGCACAGGAAGCGAAGAAAGCACAAAATCGTATGATTGTAGTGATATTTATTGACCGTGCAAGCTACTAACTGTGTTTGTGAAGGTGAGTAGTCTCTTCGTGCTTCACTTATTGGGCCCCCTGTTCCGTGCACGGCTGGCTCACACCATCCTGGGCTGCTTTAATGTTGCGCCGCTGCGAGTGGGTGCCTTTTGTGTGCCGCCGAGTGCAAGGAGCAACGGGGTTTGTTCTCTGTTTTCGACCGGTCGCCTCTGATCTCCCGAACTCCTCAAACCCATTCTTGGGCCCTGGACAACCACAAACTTCAGTTTATTGGACACTACCAGCTGCGTTTCTATATATCGTTGAGTGTGAATTATAAATATAATATATATCCCCCTCCCCCCGCATATAACTTGTATTAGCAATCCGTCCCCGTTGTGTCAGTCAACCCCACTGGGCATGTGTGGCTAACGTGTGGCTTTGCAGAGAGCGCTTGCTCCGAGGGCCCGTCGTCGCAATCGCCGATGGACGACAGTGCACGAGCCGTGGATCAACCTCCTCGAAGAAGCAGCAGCCGCGGCGTCGTCATCCCCCGCATTCTGTGAAAGACTCCTGTTCTCGATCCCCGTTGGTAGCAGCGATTCGCGTCCACGGCCCGATTTGCGCCAGGCGGCTGAAGGCCACCCCAGACAGGGCAGGGATCGCCCTGGCGGGTGGGAGCGACATGGGCAAAACATCCTATCACAAGAAAGCCAAGAAGCATAAAAAGGAAAAGAAACGACACAGTAAAGATACCCGTGAACACAGCCGGTTGGTTGAATACGACAATGTGTCTTCCGGCTCTAGCCTGGAAGAGGAAGAGGGCGTTGTGGACTCATCTCCGGAACGCAAGCGTTTGCGCGAGCCCGTATCTAACGATAAGCACGACAACAGTAACAGCAGCAGTGGCAAGCACAAAAGCAGTAGTCGATACTCACCCCTACCAAGCTCCACGCCTCCACGAGGAAGTCGTTATTCGTCGTATGAGAGCTCGTCGTACTCCAACACCGAGTATCGTTCCTCCTCAAACTACGTGTCATCATCGTCGCGCGAGCCCGCCGCAGACTCATACTCGAAGACCTATGATCGTCATCCCCCGACATCGTCGCGGTACCGTTCGTTGCGAAGTCCCAGCCCGTTGACGAGATCGCGTCGTACTCCGCCTGTGTCGAAAAAATATCAGAGTTACCGTGACCACCACTCACCCAGTCCGTCACCATACTCGCGGCGAGGCCATTCCCGTTCCCGAAGCCGAACGCCAGCTGGCAATGGCGGTAGTTACCGAGACCGCAGCTCACGGGGTACTGGTGGTCGCAAAAGCCGTGCGAGGTCGCCTTCTCCTCCGACCCCCCCTCGGAGACTGAGCCATCGGCCGAGGCGGCAGAGTCAATCACTTTCTCCTGACGACAGCTTCTCCTCTTCCTCGCTTGCTTCCGAGCTGAGAAAGCTTCCGAAGGGAAAGAATCTTGCAATGCGGCACACAGCACCGTCCTCTTCGTCGCCGCTGGCAAAGCCAGTCCCGCCTCCAACGATGGTCGATGGACCTCCTCCGATGAAAGAAGATCTGTGGCCACCAACGCAGCCACCTCTGCCCCGTTCCCCGCCGCCTGTGCCGACATTGACTACGACGATGACAATGACGACGACAACGATTGAGAGGCAACCCACACCCCCTAGGAAGGGTGTAAAGGAACTTCCCATGCCTCCTGGCATTAATGTCGAAGATTTACGCCGAGATCAGCATCGGACGTTCGCCGAAAGAAACGGCCGAACGGAACAATCGTCGTTAGCGTCTGGCTCGATGGAGACCTTTCGACGACCGACGATTCTAGCGCGGAACGCGTTTGACGATGACCTGCCTAACTGGGGCGAACGTTGCGTTGACGTTTTTGACATTGTTCAGCAAATCGGCGAAGGTACATATGGGCAAGTGTATAAAGCCCAAGACCGCAATTCTGGCGTGATGGTCGCGCTCAAAAAGGTGCGCATGGAGAATGAAAAAGAAGGGTTCCCTATCACGGCGATTCGAGAGATTAAGATTCTACGTCAGCTCAATCATCCCTCAATCGTTAACCTTATGGAGGTCGTTACTGACAAATCGGATGCTCTCGATTTCCGAAAAGATAAGGGCGCTTTCTATCTCGTTTTTGAATACATGGATCACGATCTGATGGGTCTGCTTGAGTCCGGGCTTGTCGACTTCAAACCGGGCCATATCGCCTCGTTCATGAAGCAGCTTCTCGAAGGCCTATCGTACTGCCACCGTAAGAACTTTCTTCATCGAGATATTAAGTGTTCAAATATTCTCATGAACAACCAGGGCCAAATAAAACTAGCTGACTTTGGCCTTGCACGGTACTACAATGCTGAAGATAAGGATCGGCCATACACAAACAAGGTGATAACACTATGGTACCGCCCGCCCGAGTTGCTATTGGGCGAAGAGCGCTATGGGCCTGCTATTGACGTATGGAGCTGTGGCTGCATACTTGGCGAGCTCTTCACCAAAGAGCCTTTATTCAAAGCAAGCCAAGAAATGCAGCAACTGGATATCATTTCACAGGTTTGCGGTACGCCTACACCAGCCGTGTGGCCTCGCGTCATACAACTACCTCTGTTCGCCCAGTTCAAACCAAAAAAGCAACATCCACGACGAGTGCGACAAAAGTTCTGCTTTATGCCACAGCAAGCTTTAGACTTGCTCGATCAAATGCTGGAACTTGATCCAGAACGGCGAATTACAGCTGACAATGCACTTCGATGTCCATGGCTGAGCTCCGTGCAGCCAGGCGAGTTACGGCCTCCTGAGCTTCCGCGTTACCAGGATTGCCACGAAATGTGGTCTAAGAAACGAAAACGAATGTTACGTATGCAAGAGCAGCAGCAAGCTATGCATGCCGTTCAGCAGCAACAGCAACAGCTGATGCAGGATGAAAATGGAAGCAACAACAACGACGTCAACAGCGGAAATAACAACACCAGTAATAACAACAGCAACTCAATGACAAACAGTGGAAGTAGCAGTACCGCGTTAAGAAACGGTGCCGGATAGCGGTGAAACCAATGCACCGAATAGTGGTTGAACTGAGATATGGATGGTCTGTTGTTTAGGGGTACTACAATGTAAAGGGAAGCTAGAAAAAATGGCACAAAAGACACGAGCGTAATAGTGATAGTGGCAAATGAGTAAAGGTTAATACATCCAGAGTGAAAATAATGAAGAAGAGAGATTAAAGAGTATGAAATGAAATAACTAACAAACGAAGTCGAGCAGAAAGTGTCAGTCATGTCAATGACCATGATGATGATAATGGTGGTGGCGATGATGATGAATTGTGAGACTTGCGTAGTAGTGGTAGTGGCGGTGCAGTGGCAGCGGAAGATGATGTTCCTTGGTGGAAGGAGGGTCTGAGACGTTGTTGACCACGCTCAGGGGACGCAGGGTTCATGATGAGCATAATTCGGATTGATGTGTTAGGGGTGTCTCACGTAATTGTTGTAAATAGTCGTCTATGGGTGATTTTCGTTGACCGTCTGATAGACTGATGGGTACTAGGGAGAGTGGCAGGTAAAAGAGAAGCTGTTGGATGGCACAGACTACGAGCAAGCGTACGTCTCTGAGTACGTGCGTGCATGCGCGGATGAGTCAGTTTTTTTCTTCTTTATTATTGATGATGATGATCCCTGGCAGTTGTCCGGAGGGAAGCGCAACACGACAAGAGTCGTTTTGTGGTTGATATATGGAGAAGAAGTTAACTGTTTGTTGTTGCCTTTCCGATTTGTATTCGCCTGAAAATATACAACTCTCTCTTTACGACGCATACAAATCTCGACACGTGAATATTTACATATGACAGTGATGCAGCTGATGTTTATCCTGTACTGATAGCGCGGCTGCTACCACTGTTTCACTAGATAATGAAAAGAAAGCAAATAGAAATATAGATTGTCTACTTTAATAATAAGATGCCCTTAATTGTAGGGCAATATGATTGACATTTTTGACTTTGAAACGACAACAACTACAGTAACGACAGCAACAAACGTTCAACAAGCATTCAGAAAAATATTACACTGTATAGAATGATGTGCTAAAATATCTCTTTATAAAAACCTCTAAAGAAATGAGGCGGCATTATATTTTGTTGATGCTTAATGAGGAACTGACAATAATACTAGTATTAACAATATGGTAATAATAATTATAATTATTATGCTGTCCTGTTAGCTGAGGTGAACGCGTTTAACTGTCGTCCAACTGTGAGACCATTTGGGGCGCTGGATATTTCCCACTTTAGACGTACATTTGCTACAACAACTACTACTAAATGTGGACAGTAGTATGAGTTATAGAGGAAAAGTTAGTCGGGGTTGTAGTATTACAGGGGTGATGACGGTAAATAGTCCTGATGCGTGCATGCATGCATCCAAAGAAGTCAGTCAGTGAGGGAAAGAGGCAGGTGGCACGAGGCGGTTTTTATAAGCCGCAGAAGTTCTATCTGGGCATTCTTTGCAAACTGAGGGACTAACGGTAACCCTTTTAAGTCAGGCGTATGAATGGATGAACGTTGGATCGGGCGGGTAGCAGCTAGGGAAGGGGTATCAAAAAAGAGGCTTATGATGGATGTTCTTTGTATAGTGTAGCGATCAAGTTAATTATTTAGATTTTGAAGATGTTTACGGTGGAATGTAAGAGATAGAAAACGTTTTGCCAACAGTAATATGTGAACGGGGGACAAAAACGAAGGATGTGCTTAAGGACACTTTGAAGGTGAACACCCAAGGCGCGCACCAAGAACCCCCAAAAACCACCCAACGAACAAACATCTCCGCTGCTTACGTGAAATTTTTGCGGCTGACAATGATGAACCACTTTGGTAATGATCACGATTTATTGACTAATTATTGACTTATTCACTGCACTACTATAGATTGTGAACTGCTCGAATTCGAAATTGTAAAAAGGTGACTTGTTATTGTATATTTTCTTTATTACAAATGAGAGCAAGAGCGTAAGAAAGCAGAACACTAAAAGGGAGATTGAGGACACGATAGAAGCAAGTAGGGAAAAATCGAGTGCCGGCGGCCATATGGACAAACAGGCACACATTGACTGACTGAGAACGAGCTGCAGGGAGGAAGGATTAGGTATTTATTATGGAGAAAATATATATATATTACATAAATGATTAATATTGTCGCCCTCCCGGAAGCAGAAAACGAGAAAAATACACAAAAACAAACCAGGAGGAAAATGTATCGATAGGAGCTACGGAACGATCGATGATAACGCTGGGGAATAAAAAGACGACAATACAGAAGGTGATGATAATGGAAAAAGCGAAATTGGACGAGCGCTAAAGCGGGCACTAAAATGTACATTTTTTGGTAAAAAATAAAATAAATTCTTTAAAATTATATCGATTCTCTTTTTGGCTATTAGCTAAGGGATGGCGATAGGGTTTAGGAATCTGAAAGACGACGGGAGGAGGGCAGGACGAAGGTACATGTTCCTGAGCTTTCGATTTGCTATTTCTAAGGAAAAAAGAGTATGCAGTTTCAGCAAAAAAAGTCCAGGCCTAGACTGAATATGGGAGAACCGGAGAGCAGCGGTCTGGTATTTTTATCAACACAATTTTTTTCTTACGATTTTTTTGACCGGTCGAGCACGTCAGGCAGTCGTATATTAATGAATAGTTGATAACAATTTTTGTGTCTACGTATGTATATGCGCATTCTATTAAGTTTTAACTGGGCGTTGATCTTCAGTAAGTGCGATTAGTACGATGTCTAGAGTCACTCAAAGTCTCTATTTTCATTTTGACCAGAAGCAGCAGAATCGTTATTAATGACCATGTGTTTAGGAAAGAAAATAGTGTGACTTAATTAGGTCCAGAACGATGAGAATGAGCTAAAGGATCTAAGAATGGAGTGGGTTTTATCGTATCCGGTGTGAATCTGATTAAGCGATCCGCTTTCAGATGTGGCCATTGATCACTGGGCCTTCTGTTCGGTGTTTACGAACCGCATTTCGAGCTCGATTCGTGTTGCTTGCCAGGCCGCTGTCCATCTCGAGGTTCGATGTAAGAGATCCTCAAACAAGAGAGTATCTCAAGACTCTCAAGACGCTGCTGGCTATGAATGACATGTCGCCGTTTGGCAAAATATCGGGGGCTAACATCCAGCGGTTAAGGGCAACTGGGGAGTTGTATGAAACCATCGAGAAGATATCCGAGGAAATGATGAGTCTCGAGCAGCTAAGAAAAGGTACGCTTAGATTACAGATTAGGTGTTATAATGGCAAATTTATTATATGATACACCAAAAAATCGATGATAATGTTCCTATGTAGCTAATTTGCGTACTGCTTGACTTTCATTAGATGACAATCTCGTTTTATCAGCAGCACGAGATCTCAACTCAACCGTTGGTTGTAAATGAATACGAATGTTTGCAGATCAGAGATAAACTTTCATAAGATATCTAGTAGGCGGCTTATAGAGTTGGTAAAACAGGACTAAATAGTGCGTAACAACTTTTTGGCGTGCAAGAGTAGTTACAAGAAATTAAGTTGAAGAGGAACCGATTACTTAACAATAATTATTAACAGTTATTGCAGGCTAACAAAGAATTAATATTTAGTTAATGAGTTAATGAATTAAGTATCACATTTGTTTCGCTATTGGAACTCATAACTTTATGTACAAGACTGATGGGCTTATCATGCGATGAGCGGTCCACTTGATGAGAAGTACCATCTTCTATTGGTTTCAATTTGAAAACACATTTAGCTTCTATCATATATATTGCCAAAGTAATGGTTATGTGTAGTCCGAACGATTTCTGTGAAGTCTACCACATAAGTTAACTAGCAATATTTTCATTTGAGACTTCTCACGGAATTTAGGGCGCTGTTGGGATTTTTAAATTCTGAATTGCGAGATTAACATGATTAGCCGTATCTGTTAACATGACTGTAGAAATGCTCGAGACTAAGGAACAGGATATGGTGGATATCGCAACAAAGGACATTGCTAAATGTCACGAGAAAATTACGCAGATCTCAGCTGAGGTGAGTGTCATTAAATGTTTATGTCATAGTTTCAAGATAAGCAAAACATAAGCAAAGAAAGCATAAAAGATACGAATACGTATGTAAAGGGTGACTCTAAGTTTGGAAAATTGCGCATATGATCAAAACAGTGGTAATGGTTTAACTTTCAATAGTAGCGAGTGCATTTAAATTTATCAGTGAAGGTAACGTGTTTCAGAGAGACTATTTTTACTACTCATACAAAAGAACGTGCTTTTGTTTATTAAATCCCGAACAGAATAGAAATTAAGATACATTATAAGCACTATTATTAGCGTTAGATAAAAGAAAGATCTCAAAGTAGTTATTTAATAGTATTTAGTTGATATACTGAAAATAGTAGAGCACTACATTGCTTTTAACGATTTTAAAACGTCACTTAGTTTCAGTTTATCTTGACTCAGTGAGGGTATTTTAGTGGTAATCACCTTGTAAGTCGGTGTGTGCATGGTTTAAAAGTTTGTAAATTAATAGTGATGACAAAGAAATGGAAATTAAGGATTTATCCATGAAGCGGAAACGTAAACACGGAATAAAATAATTTTTGCAAAGAAATAAAAACGAAACTATTAAGAATGAAGTTTATTTATATGAATTAAGAATGAATTATTTTATGCGATTTTAGTTCTCAGATCGCGTAAAGAATAATTCCAGAGCGAGTAGATGCAGTTAAGCTGCATGCAATATATGAATATATGCGTAGCCTATTAATACATATATAGCACGTTGTAACGTTTGGATCTGGTTGAGTTTATTTGTGCTTACAAATTGCTATCATGTTTTGCCTACCGTTTCATGCAACAAATGCTAATGGCTGTGCTCGTTGTCGGCAGTTTCTCGTTATTTTTTTTCTTTTACTGTAGAAGGTAGCCTTTAGGAATAGTATTTTAAAAATCTTGTTCCTGAACGAAAATATACTATACTGCATATGTGAACGCTTTCTAACGACAGCTATTTGCATACGCTTTTTGTATGTGAGTTTACCTATCTCCTACCTTTATTTTCATTGATTTTTGTAGGTAGAAGGCAAGATTTGTAAAAATAATAATTTTTTATAAATATATTTAGCTAATATCCGCGTGCGATATAAACTTCATACTCTTCCTCCTTAAATATTCTTTAATTAATTCAGCAGGAATTTGGTATAGTTAGATTCATGTTGACCAAAGGTTTCTGATAACGTACTACCTAGTGTCTTAAAGGTGCACAATTAGGTCGAACATAAAGCAATGAAATTCCCAACGGCAAACTGGTCGACTCAAATATTGTCAGCTTGGGTCAAGAATTGTCCCTACAGTCACTTGATCCTTACTTGTTCGATAAATTAACCGTTTCTTTTTTAGAAATTTTTCGTATCGTTTATCACAACAGAATTCCTTTTCAACCCAAAACTGAACGAATGGTTTTAATGCATAACCTACAACTAACAAGCATTTAGCGCGTGGAGAAAGTGTGATTTGTTCTTGCTCACATTTTGATAGGAATCGAACGTGCACAAGTTGACAGACCGATGGCTGACGTTTTGGTTACAAAATTTATGAAAGATTCCATTGTGCAGCGATAACGTAGTAACTTACCACTCTGTAGAAAAAGCTGCATATTTTCAGAAGCAAAGTTTTTTTTTTACAATTATTTACCTAGGCATACCAACATTGTTTAAGTGGAGAGCAGTAGATGCCCATGGAATGTCCTTTATATCTCTATGTATTTGTTTAAAAATATGTTTAACGGTGCAGCATATAATGTTATAGAAGTGTGCGTGAAAAGTCTATTTACCCGGTATGATAATTAGAGCTGCGCATCGTTTCTAGTATCTCTATCAATTATGCATTTCAAACGTTCATCAAACGTTTATAAAAGAAAAAAAAAAGAAATTGACTTATTTTGGCTAGAGAAGCGAGCAAATATATTAAAATATGCAATTTATATCCAAGATAAAGACGAAACATGATCCCCACGTGTATATAAAATATCTACCGTAGTGTCTGAGCGCAGAATGGAAAGAAATATTCGATATATAAAAAAAAATGTATATAGAAAATATATGTAGAAGGCATGGTTTTATCGTAAATAATGTAATGCATTAGAAGGGTTTAAGAGGCATATTATATTGGGCATGGATTTAATAATTCCTCAAATGAAAACAGTAGACCGTCAGCCATTGCCGGTGCATTGTAAGTCGTTTCCACGCCTTAGGACACGCTGTCTGCATATATGAAGAAGCACTTTAGGAGCGATACGTTCTGGCATTTTTCCAGGACCTTAATATAGAAAAATAATCCTGCAGTGGATATTTTCGTTTGCTGCTGTAAAATGCAGCCTGATAATAACATTTTCTCACGTAACCATATCAATGGGTTTGATTTGCATAATTATAAAAAAAAATTGTTACAGAACACTCGAAGCAAGCAGGTATATATATATATATATATGTAATATTCGTTGGGGATATGTTAGGTTGGGTAACGAATGAAAAGATTAAAGATAACTAAAATATCTGTTAAAAAGAAATTCGTTAGTTTGTTTAAGCTAAACGCCCTTCAATGCAATTTGTAAGTCATGGAATAATTTGTTGCTTTGCAGATCTATACAAACCTCGTTCCTATTGAACTAGTCGATACTCAGGAGGTTCTCCTTGAGCTTAACGCCGGTGTGGGCGGTCAGGAAGCCATGCTGTTTAATCAAGACCTTATGACAATGTACTTAAAATTCAGTCAGCTTACTATGGGTTGGAATGTGGAAGTTACAGAAGCAAGTCTATCTGAAACAGGTAAACGCTTTCTCTTATGAAATGATTGAAAATGCATAAAACTGGCCATTTATAGTACTGCTAATGAAGTTCTGATGTGGTGGCTAGTGCTACGAATGCTACTTCAAAACTTAAACCCACCTTGCGACAGATATTATAGCCCTTTGGGAAACATTCGAATCATTTCACTTGTTACAAGAAGTTTGCCTACAACCAAAAGGTTTGTGAATTATGATTCTGAAATCTACACATTTCATCTTCAATTCAAGAGTACTTCAATCAAAAATTTAAGAGACAGATGCAAATTTGCTAAGAATAATTATAATTATATTATGTCTATTTATCTGCTCTTTCAACCTGCCCCCTTGGAAGTCTTATTTGAAATTGTGAGCTTGCCATTTGAGTTGATCAATATTGAATACAAATAATTGATTCCAAAGGGCTAATATTCGTATCTGTTGGCTCATTCATTTTTTGTATCTAAGCACATTGACAATCATGCATATCGTTTTCTCAAAACTTGCATGAGGTTATGTCGATGAGACAAAATGTTGTCCTCTTTATGTTAACCAGGTAGCTCTTCATCACAACGCCATTTTATTTGCCTTTTATCGAAGCGAAGATGACCATTCGTGGTAACAGTGGCATTCATAGTTTTTAACATCAATTCTTTAGCTGTTACTAGAGATAGTACCAATTTGGCTTAAATAAAATAACGGTTTCAGGTCATGATTGATGAACAGTTTTTGAGCATGATGGCTCGGAAACGAAATAAATGTAACTTTTGAATAAAACCCACAATATCTTTTTTACCGAGAAAGTGCTTTGACCATTAGGCTACACACCACGTCATGCATGTCTCTACGTTTTGAGTTTTACGTCTGGTATCGCCCTCAGTCATTCGATGAGACGAGTGGCTACTAGCACGAAACAAAGTCTGTCTATGCTTGGGTTCAAACCTAGAACACAACGTGTTTTCAAGGTTAGCAGACAAATACGTCACCCACTAAGCTATTACAGGGGCACGTCATAGCTATCCAAGTTACGACAATTAGCCCGAAGATGTTCTATGGAATACAATGTGTTGGTACAATAGCTTTATTTATTATTTATTTAATTATTATAGGTAAAGCATTTCTCCAATAAGAAAAAGTTGAAAAAAAATTAAATATATATCGTAACTGTTTCGTTTCTAAATTTTTGCTAAAAAAATCACTTCGATATTTAATATCATGGATAACATTTCTCTATATCTTTGTAATCAGGTAATGTTTGAACCTTTATTTTAATAAAAACTATTTATACGTTCTATAACAAGCATGTTTCGTTGATCTTTCTCAAGTAACCTGTGGAACTCCTATAGAAAATAGCATCGTATCCTATCTCATCGTTTCGAGCTTAACGTCCAGTATCGCTGTTACCACCTACACCATTTGTCCCACCTACACTGTTCTATCTTATTCTTATTATACGGGTATTTATCAAATCATGCAGTCCAATAGTGTTTTAATAATTAATGATAGTAATCAATAATAATAATAATGTCAACTTATGACTGGTAAACATATGTAATAGTATTATTTAATTATTATTTTGGCAGATCCTTGAATTTCGGTTATCCACAGCTGCTGGCTCTGTAGTTTCGTTAGACTTCACCATTATGAAAACGGTGAGATGCGTGCATTCGGTTTTGTAGCCGCGCAACCTGCATATATGTGCCTCCTCTTTGCCTAATCTTATCATTGATCTCCTTTAAAATATACACAGTAAGCTCTGATAATCTCATAATTGTGCCATTATATAAATAGTGCCGCAATCGAGTGGTTTTGATAACGAGGTTCAGCAGCACTAGGGTCTAGAGAAAAGTTTTCTATTGTTTGGCATGAACTCAAGTGTCCTTACCATAGTACGTTACCGTCCAAGCCAAGCTCACATACAAAAAAACAGCTAAAATAATTTAAGCTATTTTTAAAATGTTCGGTAATTATTATTTTAGCCACTGGGCCGTGAAGAGACTCCAGGTGCTTGTCTAGGTTTTCTTACACCGCTCTCCGAAGCTAAGCATTAATCTTCTAGTAACTAGGGAGTTACTAGAAATTGTATGCCAAATTCTTTAGAAGGCATGCAGAAATTCGAAATAACAAAAACACAGGCAGAAGCAGTTGATTGATTACATCTGCTTTCGGTGTGCCGCCAATGAAATGAAAATCCCCAGAGCTGTTTGAATGACTACTCCTGACAACCAGAAACACTGCTCAGACGATCAAGCAGCTACGAAAGAAGCAGCTGTCTGCAGGAAATTCGCAGGTTACATTCTGTATGAAGATAAACTGTTCGTTGAATGCATTAATAAGGCTACCTTAGTTTTACTAAATTACCCATTTCCATAAAAGAGCTGTTTGTATCGCACATGTATAAACTTATGTGCTTTAGATTATAAGACGGATATTGTGCTATACGTTACTGTTGACGTTTTTGCAGGTGGGTTACGACGTGGAGTATTGTCTATTACTGGATACGATGTAGGACGGGTACTTAAACTGGAAAGTGGGGTTCACCGAGTACAAAGAGTTCCCAAAACTGAAAAATCTGGAAGGATTCACACAAGCACTGCTACTGTTGCCGTTCTAGCCTGTCCTCCAGAGGTATGGCCTCCATGACTGATCATTTGTGATATGACGCCAAAAGGCCCGTGTAGCGTGAGTTTCTACTATAAGTTTGCTCTGTTTATTGGAAAGCACGCAGGCATAATAGTAAGTTGTGAAATTAGTTCTTCGAAATAGCAATTCGAAAATAAAGTAATACCTCTGATGTAAAACATGTCCGCAATAATTTTGCAAATGTTTGTCTCCTTAAGTGCGAATGCAGTACCCACTAAAAGGACTGCTCTAAAGAGCTTTAGAATTGATTTTGGAACACAACTCGCACGTAGTGTACACGACCACAGTGTCACTTCAAAGGTTTTACTTTTCAAATGTTTTTTCGTTTCTCGCATTGTCCTTATAGTGGAGTCAAAACAAAAAGTGTTAAATGCTGTTTAATTGATACGGGTAAGCGATGCGGCGGGTATCAAAAGGCTTGATCGAAAATAGCGTATGGAATACTTGTACAAAGGTAGACCAGTATAAAATTTTACATAGCAATAGTCAAGATAACGCGCTCCAATACAGTTTCTTTTTACTATAGCTCATAGACAGATGATCGCATTGCTTTGGTTTGTATGATACGATTATTCGAATTTGAGACAAGTAAACAAGTTAAAAGTTTCATTAGTGCAAATGGAATCAGGTTGTTCTATCTCATCCTTGGCTGCTCGTTTTTTGTCTTCTCGGGGGTTTGGATACATAATTACAGGTTTAAAGAATCCGGGAGAGAAATATTTGCAATTATATGCTGAAGTCTCTGCTTATTCGTCTATTTCCATCAGGTAGAAGTAAATATCGAACCAAGGGATTTAATTGTGAAGACGAAGCGCGCAGGAGGACCTGGCGGACAGCATGTGAATAAAACCGAAAGCGCTGTTCAGATACTTCATGTGCCAACTGGTAATAGTTTGATCTTTTCTTATTCGATTATAAGTATTTCATGTGCTTCAGTATTCTAAAAACTCAGTTTCGCTATAGTCGCTGGTATGGGCACACGTCAACAGCTCAAGGTCAGCTGTCAGATTTTATTTCTAAAACCATTGGGAAAATCATGGTATGAATAGCCTTGTATTTTAGCCAGAATAGATTTGCCAGGAAAACTTTGTGGAAAGGGTAATTAGTCTTGCACTTAGATCATCGTTGACTACCGGCTTTGCGCATTTTTGTGTTATATTAATATGTATATCAAGAATGTATATATACATATATGGTGAGAAACTTCAATTGTTTCTTTTAGTAAAAACGAGTAAATTGGCTTTTTAATACTTTATTCGAAGGAGGCGTTTAAAAAAGTATTTTTTACTTAGCACTCTAAAAAAAGAGGGTTATTCACCGAGTTTTCCGGCTGGTCTACCCATGTCTCTTATTGGCACTTCTATGACGTTTAGTTTGACCAAACAATTTTATATATGTGTATATTTTATATATTACCAGACAGTATGCCAGTTTTAGGAATAACGCTTAAAGATTGCTACAAGCGTACATACTATCGATCTGCTGCGCATAGAACGCTATCGTAAAAGGGGTGGCTGTCGGGGCCGACCGTCTAATTTGTTTTATGACTAACGAAATTTATCATTAATCTAAACGGTGCCGGTGGGTTCGCTTTGGCGGAATTGTCATAAAAACCTTAATGGAAGGAGATGTCCTTACTCTTCACAATTGCAGCAGCTGGTAATGACTGATAATGAGGGAACATGATTGACTGATTTGTGATCGTTTGCTATGTAGGCATAATGGTCGAGAGTGACACCGAGCGATGCCAACAACAAAATAAGTCAGTAGCAATGAAGAAACTTCGGGCGAAGATCTATGACTTGAAGGTGTCGTCTGAAATGAATAAAGTTCAGTCACAGAAAAAACTGCAGGTAAGTACGTCGGGCTAGCTTTTTTCTATTAATGTAGCGTTCACAAAGACAGAGACTAAATGCTAGACTTCAACCTAAAACGTTGTAATTGTACTAAGTAAAAATTTTAGACGCCGTACTCCACTACTTTAATTTAATGTCATTTCATAAACCTATTAAGTAAAGCTCGAGGGGCCAGTCGGCCAATTTTTCCTTATTCTGTGTAATACACATTGCGTACATTCCTTATTTTGTCATACTTATATTATAGTCTATTCCGATGGTCAGTTTAAACCAACAGCTTGTCATATCTTCAGTCTTTATATTTATTTATTTACTTAATATTTGTCGGTGAAACCACTGCGCCCACAAGCATAACGTATATTCCATAATGCGTGCTCGCATTGAATTAACCAAACTATTTTTATTCTTTCATACTGGAAAACTGGAGGACATTTCGTTTTTTTTACGAAATACAGCATGATATATACAAGCTCGAAACAGATCAATACATGATAATTATTCGGTTTTCTTCTGACATTAAAATCACAATAACCCTATATGGGTGTAAGTGTTGCCACACTTCCCTCTGTATTATGCCCTGCGCCGGTTGTAGAGTCAACGTGTTATTTTACATTTATTTATTGTACAGAAGAAATTACAGTAACATATATCGGAGATTTCTGGACAGGCCGCGGGATCTTCGCAATAATCGAAATGTTTGAATGTATTTTTCAGATTCCGCTGACTCTTATCCTAGTTTGTGGCTGCCTGAGCTCCTAATTATAAGCATCAGGAGATTTTATTTATCTTGTACTCTTTGCCGATTCACATTACCCTTTTCTAAGGTTTAATTTGTGTTTTCTGTGCGTTTTTAATTGATGTTTTCAATTTTACAAACTGCTTCAGGTAGGAAACGCAACACGATCGGAAAAAATCCGCACATATAATTTTACACAAGATCGGATTACAGACCACCGCCTTCCTTATACGGTTCGCAATGTCGAAGAATTTCTTCAGGGAGGAGCGCCTCTAAAACAAATAATAGGTGTCTTGCAGGAAGCCTATCAAAACGAGCAGATTTCTTATTTGATACGAAATAAGCTATACAGTTAAACTAGCTTTTCACTGAGCGTTTAATATTATTAATATTGTTATTAGTATGGATCTTATAATGCCAAATATTACCTAAAAAAACAATTAGCTTTATTAATAAACACTAAATATTTGAAGCACAGCTATTTTTTTTTTTGTTGGTAGGAGCATTTGGCCTCTAAGCTATTCATAACGTGTTAGGAGCTATTAAAGAGGTAGATAGGCGGCTATAGGGGGGAAAAGTAGGCTCGGAATTCAAAAAAGTAGGGCAAAAAGGTATAAACAGATATCTTAATACTTGTGTATCTTTGTCAAATATAATAATTGTTTATATGTTTATAAATAA